ATTAAAGCAGTCGATATATGTCTTTCATATGCCAAATTAAAACAAAAATCTACCAAGAATTCTTACCTTATCCTTTTATTGAGTAAAGATTGGTTAAACCGTACATCACAGAAAATCTGAGACACTGTCTGTTAGGCCTAATCTACACTTGAAAATGACTGAAAGTTCAATCATTTTGGAATCGCAGACAAAAAGCACTGTATGGTGTCCGCGCTCGCACAAAGAACATTTTAACACGTAAACCAATGGGTATCGCAGCAAAAATTATATATTTTTATGGTAACCTGAATTTTAACCGGTATTGGCATTTTGCGTTTCTACGGGAATGTCTAAAATCACCAAAATGATGTCAATGTCATCGCACATGTTCAATGAAAATATAATTAAGTAGAATCTAAAATAATTTGTGAATTTGTTACCAGAAATGACCCAGATGTTAAGAGCCATATTGCTCTCATATCTTGTCAACAAACTTGATAGAACTCAATATGATAGTTGAGAACTAGCAATTGTCTGGTAAGGTTGTATGAATATATATAGGCCTGAGTTATTAGTGTACATTTTGTTGGACATGTATACATGTAATTGTTTGTAAATTTCGAACTACATCCAGTTCTAGATTTTAAAATCCATTTGAGGAAATTTTTTCCAGGATTTTCTTCACATCATTCCAGTGTATATGTAAATATGCTGCTATAATATTAAGATACATGTCTCTTTTGTCAATGTATCATTACTGAGTTATCAGTGTAATATTTAATTTGACAAGGATTAGTGTTTGTACATGTTTAATTACATTTATCCAGTACTATATAATAAATCCAACTGGGGGATTTTTTTTTTTACATGATTCCATTACATGTAAATATGCTGCTATAATAATTGTATGATACATTTTTATTCTCAATGTTTTCAGTACTCAGTGCATTTTGATAATTTTGATGATACATATTCCAGGCTTTTCTTCGCATCATTATGATTATGATTATGCAATAGTATGATACATGTATATTTTGAACTTGTATGTTTGCCATATATATACCTGTCTTGCAAGACAAGTTTTATATTTTTAGTAAGTTTGCATTCCTGATTGGCTATATAAAATACAAACATATAGATATATCATAGATATCTTATGAGCAATCTGTTACCTTGCCTTTTGATCACCATCGTCTTCTGATTATTAAAGTGATGTCATTTTTTTTTGTAATCCACTCTGATTTTCATAATAGTCAATGCGAATTGCCCAGATCTGTGAGTTAATTCAAAATTATGTCATGCAAATTTAAGGATGTACTAAACAGGTCTTTCTATGTATATTGTATGATACATAATTATACGTGTATGTATTGGTAATCTATGCAAATGTGATTTACTTAATTGATAGATGTAGGTCAGCAATATACATCTACTGCATCAATATTGTATACGTCATAATAGGCCATTTTGGTAACCAAAATATAAAAAAAATCTCAATTTTTGTTTTTAGTGATACTTTGATATTATGCTCTTCAACATCCAATTGCTGTTTCATGATATTTTTTAGTATTTGATTGTATTTTAGTGCAAAGAAAATATCAGGTAAGCCAATAACCAGACCGGAAGTGAATAATTTGGGTCCAAAATTACCACAAAAAACAGTAAAAAATGACCTCTGGATGTAACTGACAGGGTACTAATGTGTTTGCTGCCATCTATTGGCCTAGTAGGGTCAGGGCATTTGTGTAGATGCTATAATTAAAGATAGCTCATGGACGCACTCTAGTGGAACTGAACTCGCGATCGCAGGTCAATTTATCCCATTTTGGATCAAATATATTTTTGGAAACTTTGAAGTAACTTTATAACTGAATATGCTAATTATATCTCTGAATTAGAAATTTTAGACAAAAAATACTATAACTTGAAAAATATTCATCAGAATTATTTCAAAATTGGCAGTTACATTTGTTTTCATACAACAAACAATACTATGGTGGTTTTTCCACATACATACCTCCCAAGCAAAATTATTTCCAAAAATCATTCTAATTTCTGTTTTTCTTTGAAATATCATTATTTTATGTAAATGATGAAAATTATACAAATGGTGTCGTAAGATTGTTGTGCATAACATGTTCTATCGAAATCACATAAGTGCTTTGATATTGTAATTACAATTACAGTAGTAGTACAAAGAACAAACACGACAATATTTTTTGAATATTCATGTCCTTGAGAAATTTGCATATTATTTGCATATTTAATTACGAGATAAATTGTTTCAAACTATTTTGATTTCGATTCTCCATAGCCCTCAGCTTTCCAAAGATATGTGATTTATAGGAGTTTACTTTATCAAGTAATGATTTATCAAAATTCTTTATCAACTTGTATTTCACTGTATTTTACCCTCAAATGCATTTAAAGGCCCACTGCACTACTTATGACTACTTGCGCCCTCTATATAACAAACGATGTCTAATCTGTGACCATCGGTCCCCCATGATCCTCGATCTTTTTCTAATGTTAATTGAGAGCTGAGTTGATGAGATAACCACCTGTCCAGTGACCTTGCAGGGTGCTCTAATCCTTCCTGTACACTAGTATACAGATGAAATAATTGAATTTCAGTAATCAGAATGGAAATTGTATAACGATCATATTATTACGTGTTGTTTTTTTGGGCAAGTCATAATGTAATTAATTGTCTTACCTTGTAACAACTAGTGTATGCAATTTGAATTCTGGCTATTGAGATATATTTATTCATAAGGTGAATGAAATAATTTATATTGACACACTTAAATTTGGTTATAATACATGACAGAAATGGCCAATTGATGTGTTTGTCATAAGCAGTCATGATTCTAAATTAAATAAACAAGGACGATTTAATATACTTCTGAATCTCTAATCTATTTTGTCTGATGTGAAATCTAGGAGAGACATGGGAAGTAGATGAGAGAGAGAGAGAGAGAGAGAGAGCGTGAAAGGGAGAGAAAGAGAGAGAGAGAGAGAGAAGTGGGCTAGAGAGGGTGGGAGAGATGAGCAGACACGTAACTTTTTATAAATGTAATGCTTCCTGGGAGAAATTTCAATTATTAAATATATTTGTGGCTTCCACCCAGTAAATAAGATCGATTGATCGATCTGTATCAATAAGGTCGATTAATCGACCTGTATTGAAAAACACAAGTCAGAACAAATCTTGGAACCAGCGGGATTTCATCTTCTTCAAATCCCGCTGGTTCCAAGATTTTTTCTGACTTGTTTTTCAATACAGGTCGATTAATCGACCTAATTGATACAGATCGATCAATCGATCTTATATTTACTGGGTGGAAGCCACAAATATATTTAATAAAAGACACACGTAAGTTTCAATGGGATCGAGTGAGCAACAAAAACAAAAATACCAAGGATCCGAGAAAAGGGAGATGCCATAAAAAGAAAGGGGGGATTAAAGAAATTAGCAAAGGAGAGAGCATAGGCAATGGTGATAGCTAGATGAGTTTGGAGGAAGACTAAATGAGAAGAGCTAGGGACCAGAGAAAGGCAGAAAGAAGATGAAATCAAAAGGCGGTTCATTAAAAAAAAAAAATATATATATATAGAGCATATGGGAAATGGTGATGTACGTTAACGTAGCTAAAGGCCCGGTCCCACTGCACTTACGGATGCAAAGAGGATGTAAAACGTAAAAAAATCTTGCCATCCGTTGGAAAACGCTATGCATCCGTTCTGTACTCATTGCATACGTGTTTCATACGCTCTATCCATCGAGCATCCGTCCACTGTGATTTCATCCGCGCAAAAAGTTTTGAGCTGCACAAAACTTTTAGAACGGATGAACTTCCGCCGTGTACGATGTAAATCCGCGACAAATACGAGCAACAAACGTTCTATGTCCGTTATCATCCGTTAAACGTCCGCTGTATCCTCTCTGCATCCTCTGGGCATCCTCGCAACTCACATCCGCTGCAGCTGAAAACGGAAAGAGGGAGGAAAGATAAGGAACATGGAACGTCTATACATCGTTAGTAGCACGGAAATAGAAAGGATGTAAGCGTATGCATCTCGTATATAAAGTATTCAAAGCTGTCATCCACTTCCATCCGCTTTCATCCGCTAGGCTTCGGATGAACATCCGTTTAGAATCCCCGCTACATACTACCCACGTCCGTTATTTTCCGTTCTGTTTTCGCAAATTTTCGCAAATTTTGTCCATTTCTGGAGCGGATGAAAACGGATGGAGCCACCCGCGAAATTTTGCTCGTCCGCTGTGTCCTTTATGCATACGTTTTCCCGGTGGGGTCACTCCCCTGCAAAGAGTGACACGTATGACCGTTACCACCAATGCATATAACCCCCTTTTGCGGTCAATTTCAAGGACATTTTGTGAAATTTAACCCCCTTTTTTACGTCAAAACAAGGACAAAATCGTACTTTGGAATACCCCTATTTATAAGATTGTAAGGACACTTTCGCAAATTTACCCCTATTTTACCATATTTCAAGGACAAGACTCGGCTCCGAGAATTTTTCTTCCCGGTTTTCTCTTTTCCCTTCCCGGTTTTCTCTTTTCCCTTTTCCTGACCCCTATTTATCAATTTCGGGGACACCTGTGCCCCCCTATTTTTCTTTATTTCGAGGAATATTTTGTCCGCGGACATTGCTTGAAATTGACCCCTTTTTCCGCGATTTTGGTAACGGTCATGCGGTCCGGAAGTCACATTGAGTGACCCCACCGGGTACGTTTTGTGTCCATCGGCCAGTGGGACCGGGCCATAAGATATGGAGGCCGGAGACTAAATGAGAATATTTTTAAAAAAAGCTAGAGAGAGCTAGAGAGAGGAAATATTCAATATAGCTAGATATGAAGATGAGAGTATACTCACCCTGAAATTAGTTTACACCATAAGATTTTTATTTCTTCGAAAATCAGTTCGTAGACATGATATGCTGAGTGCACCGACAATGTTGTTCCTTGACCCTTGAGTTGATTCGTGATGAACAGTTGAAATTGTATTTAAAACGGCAGTGCCAGCGTAGGGCTGGCCTACACATCATAACATGTAAGTTTAAACGTTTTTTCTGTTTTTTGAATCTATTTGGACATTAAAAGCAAAATTTTTCTTTATAGTGTATAATTTGCTTTCTATTATTAAAGTAACATACAGTACGGTTAGCCGATATGATCATATTATGATTGGTTTCCTTTGCTAGTTCCGCCAGCATTGTCCCACTAACTTGATTTTGTGTGTTGTTGCGTGTGAGTGTTCGTTTGATTCATCACTTGACTTGTTGTCAGTATCATTTGTGCAAAGAAACTTTCTAAGAAAGCTCCATGAATTGCCGTATTATCAACTTTATTCTTCTCCTTCTTGGTCTACTCTCATTTATTTTTGTCATGACTCAGTCTAGACTTTATATTTTTAGTTCTTATTTTTATTTCTTTGAATCTTTGCCTTTTTTAAAAATCCATGTTCATGATTTTTTTCTTTTTTTTTCCTTCTCTCTTCTCTTCTTTTTCACATTTTCTTCAGCACTTCAAGGCCTTTGTTCTTTTTGTACTTCTTATTTTCTTCATAAGTATAGCCATGTTTTTGTTATTGCCATCTTTGCTTTACTTTGATTTAATCAAGTAATGTTACATGATCTTTTCTTCAAATTTATTTAATCTTGTTTATTTTGATGAAGATCTAGATCTAGCCTAATTTAATCGAATGTAAAAGATATGTTTCTGAATCTGTTCACAGAAGCTCTTTTAGGATTGGAATATGGTGAATGTGCAGTTTTATCAGAGAGGTAATAAAGAAGAACTATTTTACTGCCCCGGCCTGCCTGCCTGCCTGCTGTGTATTTTTTTCAGTTGTTTTTTTAATATCATAAATATAAGATTGACTTCACGTCTTCACGACATGTTATTTTTTAACTCTTGCTTTCTAATTTTTAACTCTTGCTTTTTAATTTTTAACTCTTGCTTTTTAATTTTTAACTCTTGCTTTTTAATGTACCAAATGTGGCAGTTCTTACAGGTATGCTGCATCAATACTTTGCCAATTAAAATTTGATCTATTTTCAGCAAATAAAAAAAAATATGCAAAGTCTACCTGACCCAAGTCAGGCTTGTCAGGATCGGGAAGGCAACTGATGACTGCTGCCGTCTGTGTCGGGCAGAGCGAGAGGATGTTGAGCATCTTGTTGCAACTTGCCCAGCCCTATCATCTGTGCGTCAAGACCTTATTAATCGTATTAAGGATAACCTCAACGCAAAGCAGTTTGATCAATACTTCGAGTCTGCGCCTGCGCTGTTCTTGGAGTCAGTGCTCTTTCTCCCTGCTGGGCACATCAGCAGTAGTGCCAAAACACAGCTGCATACACTTATCCTTTATTTTATACGCAACCTTCACACAACCCGTCAAAATCTACTTAACGACCTATAGAAAGCCATTTATGTAACTTCGGCAGACTCACAGTGCCGCCGATCTCCGACCTGAGCGGAGGAAGGATACAAGAGAGAGATAGCATTTGCAATGTCATTTTTTTATTTTCATTGTTTACAGAGTAGGGGGAAAAGATGACTCATTTGAGTAGGAAAACAGCAGACATGGAGTCTAAGAGAGATGGCGCTAACTTAACCTTTGAACCTTGCATCCTCGGCAAGGCAAAAGTGTGGCTCCCTGTTGATCTCATAGAAGATGTGAGTAGAAATATATTCAGCTACTTAAAGACCTACATCAAGTTGACTATTTTTGTCGTTTGATTTTGATTGATATTGAGTTTATTTGTCATCTCTTTGGTGATGTCAAATTGTCAAAATATCACTATAAACAGGTTTTGTTTTGTTCTACATAGTCATCCTTTTCCGGTAACTTATAGACAGACTTATAACCAGAAAGGTGTCTGGGCTTCCAAAAGACTCATTGAATCATTTGTAAGAATAATTTAACAGAGCCCCTTTGTTAAAAAACGCCTTACTTTTTTCATTATGGACACCCAAATTTGAATTGCTGGCTAAAAGCCTGCTTCCTGAAATTGTATTTTTAAAGGAGAATCCAACATTGATAGCAAACTACTCTGAAGAAAAGCAGAACAATTCTGATTAGTAGACCGGTGAGAGTTTTGAATGAAATCAGACAAAACATAAAAAAGTATGAATTTTAAAATATTTGATCACTAAAGGTATAGGCTCTTCAAATTGGATGAATCAGTAATGTGTCTGTGATGTCGTGGCAGACAGCTTTCTTATATGTTCCAACACACAAAATGGCTAATATTTTGATTTTTCTAAAATGAAAGACTCGGGGAGAGTCATTTCTCTCTAGAGGATCTAGATAATAATATGCTATCCAAGGGAAAAGGCACTTATGAGAAAAGCAGAAATGATTTTATGTACACAACAATTGGGAGTTATCTGCGACTAAGTTACAATCAAATGACCAAACTGCCAAATTAATATTTGCATAAACTTAGTGATTTCATATTTCAAATATTCATATTTTCTTATTATTGGTCCCATTTATTTTTAAAATGTTTCCATTCTGTTTATCTTATTTTTCTGCTTTTATATAAATGAACTTATTGCAAGCTTTGGATTTCCCTACAGTTACCATTTTCTTTTGTAACGCAATGGCATTGCCAATACTAAACATTATCTGTAACAAAATGATTGCTTTTCAAACTTTCTCTTACAGCCTTGTGTATTCAAGTCTGTAATGAGTCAAGAGACATGGGATTCTTCCCTGACTGGAGAAGAGAGGGACAGACTCATGAAACTAATGCCTCAGTTCCCTGAAGATGATGAGAAGGAAAAACAAGAAACATTAAGGTTTGTTTTCGTGTAAATATTGATAATCGCGATAAGATCTTATATAAAATTTCTCTTACAGATACAAAGGTGTGATTGACGATAGAAACGCCTGTATAAAGCACCCTATAAGTGTAATTATTATTATTATTATTGGTCTACAGCTCGTCAAGTAATATCGACTGCGAGGATCGTAACTGGCATATTTCACACCCGGTGATTTTTTATGTTATATTGACCATCTGGTCTAATGAGTATATTTTTGTGTCATACTGTATCCATGCACCCCTGCGCTCACTAGCACGTACCAATGGTTTGCATTGTCTTAGCGGCATGTAATTGATGTGAAAGGCTGGAAGGCTCAAGAAAAAAAAGAAGAGAAACCATGAGATTACAATTGCCCTTAATTTTATATAAGAAAGTTTAATCAAGGCTATCTAATAATAATTATAAAACGGTGCTCATAAAGCGCTTTCCACCAAAGTCTCTAAGCTCTATATAACAGATATTAACTGGTACTAGTGGTAGGGTGTGTAATATAACAAATTTGGGACAGCAAGGGAGAAATAATTTCCCTCATGATCATATTTTCCCTCAGCACTGCAAGTTTCGTCAAAATATAACCTATTGGGAAAATGTCCTGTTTAAATTTTAGACATGGAGAGGTGAAAATTAAAAGTTATAACTACCGGTATTGAATAATTCAATGATTAAACAAAGGAAGAAACATAATTATTTAAAGTGGAAACATGCTACTCACATGCAAGGAATACACGAATAATGATTTGATTTCTATTTTGTCATTACCAATTGCTCAGTGTATGACAGTCTTTGAACATTTGACATATTCCATTGCCTGAGGAACATAGCTTTGTAAGCTCATTGCTTGCTTGGCCTATCATTCACATTTCAGATGTCTCTTTGAGCGAGAGAACTTCATGTTCGGCAACCCGCTGACTACCTTTGAGGAGAGGTTGAGGGCGGGCTTCATGAATCCAGAGATCGTGGAGGTCGAGCGAGGGTTACGCCGAGCTACATACAAGGATTATAAGTTCAGTGAGCAGAGGAGACTCCACAGGTTACTCAAAGAAGTTCTGATATCTAGACAGGTTAGTTGTCTTCTCTACTTGCACACTTCTCTCTGAAAATGTACTTCACCTTATGTTTCCTTTAAGTGTCGCGATCCAGTGGATATGTCACTCGAGTGTGGATCACATGGTTCGGGGTTCAAGTACTGCCATGGCACCAATGTCCTTAGGCAAGACATTAATCTACATTTGCCAGGTGTAGTGTAAATGGGAACCTGGTAGAAATTTATTCCTTGAATGCTTTTAGTGCCTTTTAGGGCAGCTGGGCTAAAGCCAGGGTAATAATAATACTTTGTACGCACCTTGAGCATTTCCTGGGATGGATATGTGCTCAATATAAATATAGCTATTATTATTATTATTTATATGTGGGTGTCTCTATATTTCTTCCATTTTATGTAGGAGTTATTAGAAGCTGCTATTTTCACTTCTCCCTCCGCTGCTGTGCCAGTGAAAAGAAGACTGTATCGGAATGATAAAGCAGTAGATGCAGTGGTGGACAAGAAATACAGAAAGTAAGTCCGTTGGAATCAATGAAAATAAAAAAATATAGTAGCAATGAGTGATTAAGCTCTGGATTGCTCTGTCCTGGAAATGATCTTGTTAAAAACACAATGTATAGTCAAACCTGCTTTAGTGACCACCTGTATAGAAATACCACCTGTCTCTAAAGACCACATTTTGTTTCCTTGAAACAGTTTCTCATTGAATAATTTACTAAAGGAACCTGTACATAAAGACCATTTTTCTTGTCTCCCTTGACTGGTCTTTATAGACAGATTTCTCTGCATTATGAGGAAATCTCACTTTTTCCAATAGCAAAGCATTAAAACAGATTGCATTAACAATTATTTCTATGTTATATAGATTGAATCAAATGTTAACACTCTAATTAACCCCTATTTTGAAGCTACCCATCATCTTCTCCATTTTACAATGACATAACTGCAAGTATTTCCTATTTTTGGAGGAAGGATGGATATCCTGTTTTTCCCCTTTAATAAACTAATGGTATGATCGGTTTAGATGTTTGTGAATGTAAATGGTACAATGTTTGAGGGTACATATTTTGATGTCCACTAGACAGTAAAATGTTCAGACACTTTAAAGGTATAGTAGGGTTCTCTTTAAAAACAATGTGATGTTTTGTTTTGTTTTCTGTTTTGTAGGATGCTAGCATCGGCAAGGGAAGGTGACACAGTAAGTTCTTGTTTGTTATTGTTATTGTTATTATTATTATTATCATCGTTGTTGTTGTAGTTGATGTTATTATTTTATTATTATTATTATTATTATTTTGGCAATTATTATTTATTTGGCAATCATTTAAACATAAGTACATAGTAATAAAATAGAATACAGCACAATTGAAATATAATCCATAATTACATGTAATAGGAACTAAGAGTGCATTTTCTCCCTCATTTCCCTAGGACACCGGGGCAGAAAAAACATGTATGAATTCCTAAGACCGAAAGGCCTTCCTACCTTTTTTAAGGAAATGTGGTATATAATGTTTGATCCCTGGTTCAGAAATGTATCAAAAATGTTATTTGCTTTTTGAAGAAATAGTATGAGATGAAGAATAATGAGGTACCTAGCCACCTGTCAGTAATTAGTCAAAATAATAATTACTTAATAATTAAAAAATTTAAGTTACTGATATCTACTTTTCTGGTTTACACCCAGACACCAGACTCATCGGATGAAGGAGAAAGCAAACCAGGTTAGTATGACCCTCTGTGTATGATCATCATTACAAATAGTCTCTTTGAACGAGGAGGAATTCAAGAATCAGTGATATCAAAATACATGAAGAATCTTAAGTGTTACACTTGGCGACGTTCATATAAATGCTACTGAACCGATGATTGTTTTGGTGTAATTTGGCTAATCCACGCCAACATTAATGATCCTCCCCCTTTTCTCTCATATGGTGCAACCGTAAACCTACTGTATACCTACTTACATGTATAAGCCGCATCTATCATTGATGATGTTTGAAAAACTTTGCAAAAAGGTTACATGCCTTTAACTAGAAGGTTCATGGTTCAAATCTGCTCTCCCTACTTGTACAGAAATGAATGGATTCCATCGGAGTCCCGGAGGTCGCCTCTCAGACCTAGACCTGCGACTGGATCCAAAATGGACCGATTTCTGGCCCCAGGAGCTGGACCAGGAAGAGGAAGTCAGAACACATTCGACCTTTGACCCGAAGCCAGTGCAGGCTGATGGGAATGGTACACCAGGTGAGTCACATGCTAAGGTCAAAAGTCATTTGTTAACGTTTACATGCAAGACTTTCTTATCACAAATAAGGTGTATTATTCTAACATTGTTGTCATTGCTATTGAATTTGTCTTCGTCCTTGCCTTTGACCTTGTGCTGTAGGAAAGACATCTTCACCAACCAAGCCGCCTTCACCAGTCAGGCTGAGCCAACAGCAGTACATCAAACTCATAGAGAACTACCAAGACCGCATAGAAGATGAACATTTGAGGGTAAGCTGACTGCAGAGAAAAGTCAATTGTCTCTGTTGTGTTGAGAAGAGAAGATAATTTAAATTTGTTTATAAATTGAACATTTTCAGCCTGCAAGCTGCTTGTTTGATGTGGTTTTGCAATAAACCAAACCAATTCAATTTGATAAAAAAACCTGTGAAAAAGATCATGGGATCTGAAAGGGAATGGTATAAGAAGGAAAGGAAGACCAAAGATTTCATGGAAAGATGGTGAAGAAAGAAAACAGCAAAGTTGGTCTAAACATGCTAGTGGATAAACAAAGCATATACAAATTTAATAAAGAAAATGATAAATGATACATCAAACTTATAGAGAACTATCAAGACCGCGTAGAAGACGAACATTTGAGGGTAAGCTGACTGCAGAGAAAGGTCGATTCTCTTTGATGTGTTGGGGAGGGAAGTTGATGAACCTGTGAAAAAGAGCATAGAACAAAGTACAAAGAGTAGACAATGCCAAAAATGAAATGAGAGATCCGGGGTACAGAAAATAATACAAAATGATGAGCTGCAGCATGTGGGGTTGAGAAGAAGATGAGGAAAGAGAAATGCGCATTATACAGGAGATAAGCATGAGGAGGCACAATATAATATATCAAATTACATTTTTAGTCAGCGAGTGGAGAATGATCTTGTATTCAACAAAAACAAAACAAAAAACAGATAAGAGGGAAAGGAAGACCAAAGATTTCATGGAAAGATGGTGTAGAAAGAAAGCAATAAGGTTGGTCTAAACATGCTAGTGGATAAACAAAGCATATACAAATTTAATAAAGAAAATGATAAATGATACATCAAACTTATAGAGAACTATTAAGACTGCATAGAAAATGAACATTTGAGGGTAATCTGACTGCAGAGAAAAGTTGATTCTCTTTGATGTGTTACGAAGGGAAGATGATGAACCTGTGAAAAAAGAGTGTGGGTTTTGGAAGGCGATTGTATAAGAGGGAAAGGAAGACCAAAGATTCAATTGAAAGATATGGTGAAGAAAGAAAGCAGTAAGGTTGGTCTCAATATGCTGATTGGGTAAACAAAGCATATAAGAATTTTAAAAGATGATAATTTTACTGTTCTGATAATAATAAGGCCTAAAACAAGATGTTGTACTGCCCTTTGCGACCGACCCAAAAATCTTGAAATCTACGGTCGGCTTTTTTTTTTTTTTTTTTAACCATTAAAAAAAAAAAATCCCACCGACCCATGTTTCGGCACCTAAAGGGCAATACAATATCTTTTTTTTTAGGCCTAACCAGTGAGTCCTTGCACAGTACACGTACTTGTGTCTGTCACACTTAATAAGCATGAACTTTGACTTTGTTGCCAATTTGGTTCCCTCCTTATGATAGTGATTGTATTGTTTCAGAAACACCCTGAGCTGAATACGAAGCACATCACCGTGACTGGAATCATCTCTAGAGCCTTCCCTACGCCTCCACCTCCTCAGCTACCCATCCCAGGTGAGTTTATTCATTCTGTTGTAGATCGTTAAGGTATCTGCCAACCCTTCCAAAAAATCAGATTTTCTTGATTTTTAGGACCTAAGAATTCAGAATATTTAAATTTTTCAATTTTTTTTTTTTAATGTTTTGTTTTGGTGTGTGCTTAAGCCAAATTAAGCTTGTTTTATCATGTGCTGCGATTTGGGGAGTTCACATATTGCGTGCGTTGAATGGCTGCATGATCGAGCAGCAAATTTATATTCAATTTTTCGTACAGATTTACCGCATATTGCCAGTTACAATGCCGCTGCATGTGCGAACGCCTGTTAAGGGTACAGATTTCTTATTTTCGAAGGCATACCGTGCTAGAAATTCCTAATTCTTATTTTCAAATGTTGGCAGGTATGGGTTATTACAGTCCAAACTTTCTTGGCGGCCACCTCTCTATAAAGACCACCTGTATATAGAGGTCATTAATGTTGCCCCCCTAGAAAAATAAATGTGTGTTTTAGATCTTGTCTAGAAAGGCCACCTGTCTACAGTGGCCACTTTTTCTGTTTTCCTTGGGAGGCCTTAATAAACAGGTTTGACAGTACATGTGTATACAGCCTTAAGACAATTTGCACTTTGAATAAGGTAGCTTAAAATCGAAATGCAGTGGCACGAAAAGACACCTCTGAAATGCAAAAGGTGTGATAGCGATACTGGCGATTTAAAATTTCTTTTTTGTTCCAATGTATTACATCAGCACAACACATCTTGATATCTAAGATTAACCACAATGTTGATAATTATTTTCTGAACCACATAATAGTCACTCATTGAAATGACTCCTGTGAAATTGTGCATGCTTTTCATATTCACAATTTTTCTCCAGGAGGAATGCTTTTAAAAACTGAAGAAATGGAAGTCAAGACAGGAAAGAAGAGAAAGGACCGGGAGAAAGACCGGAAGAAGAGAAAGAAGAAGAAAATGGCAGTGATGACACCAATGACCCCACCCAAAGCTGTCACGCCCATCTCCATCGGTTCCTTGGAGGGGAATTCCCCTGTGGACATCCTAAGTACTCCGGAGTCTCGACCGTCTACTAGGGACGATTTCTCTACCTCGCCAGCCACCTGTTCGCCCGCTTCAGCTGGCTCTTCGTAAGTACTACCATCTTACCCCAATGATGTACATCTTTCATTTATATGCCTTTATGCAGTTCCATTGCAATGTTGTTAATGATTATTGCTTTGCTGTATTCCTCCTTCCTTTTAAATGCCAGTCCCATCTCAATTTTCTGTTCCACTCCCCTTTTTCTCTCTGTCTCTTTGTCTCTCTTTCTCTCTGTCTCTCTCTCTCCCTGTCTCTCTCTGTCTCTCTCTCTCTCCATCTCTACCTCTCTCTCTCCTCTCTCTCTCTCTCTCTCTGTCTCCATCTCTGTCTCTCTTTCCCTCTCTTTTTTCAATATAAGCCTGTATTACCTCAATCTCCCATGCGTACCCAACACCAGCTCCACAGGCCCCTAAGCCTTCTTCCACATGAAGATGAGTGTAGTACAACCTTAAATTTTGTTTTCATTTTATTTTGCCATATTTCAAATTTGATGAGCAAAGATCTTGGACTTTGTAGTTTAGTAGAAGGGGACTCCTTATATCTTACTGAATTTGTAATATGTTTGAGGATGTTTGTCCTATGATATAGTTTAATCCTATAATGAATTGTGAAAAAGGGGAAGTCCCTAGTATCTTTTGTATTATTATTATTATGATGATGATGATGATGATGATAGGGGAAATCCCCCAATATGTTCTGTTGTTGCAAGTTGATGTTTCTTTCTCCATCCGTAAGAGTAATATTTGAAGACCCTTCATATGCATTTATCCATGTTATGCTATCTGTTCCTAGACTAATTGGGGAAGTCCCTCTTTTGCCAGCGATCCTTTGTTTTGTGTATTATAAGCTGACAGGGAAAGCCCCTCTTTTATGTTTGTTTTTGTTGGTAGGGTAACTGCATCCAGCACAAATGATTTCCTTACTTCACCATCTCCTGCTTGCTCTCCCGCTTCCCCATCGTCACCGTAAGACTGGTTACCTGTTCTTATTCGTATTAACCATTCTTGAACTGTTCCTCGGCCAAACAAACCGTGTTATTAACCATTCTTTTACTTATATAGCCAAATTATGTTATTAACTATTCCATTTCTATTCCAAATTCCAGCAAGTTGTTAATCATTCTTATTAATCATTCTAGTTGTTTGCTTCATTCCATCAAATTGTGTCATTATAAATACTACCTGTTCTATTCCTTATTCTTACAAATTGTGTTATTAACCATTCTTTTACTTAAATAGTCATATTATATTATTAACTAATCCTTTCCAATTCCAAATTTCAACAAATTTTGTCGAACTTATTAGTCATTCGTATTACTATTAATCATTCTTGTTGTATGTCTCATTTCATTAAACCGTTAGTTATAAATACTACCTGTTTTATTCCTTATTCTAACAAATTGCATTATTAAGCATTCATAATATATTCCTTAGTACAACACCATTACCATTTGGTTTAATTCTCGCTGTTGCCACTATACTACAGTATTCTGCCAAAGAGGACAGCACTGGCCATGGGTATATATGTGGCAAAAGCCTCTCCAGGTCCCATACAAATAAAGTGGGTTGAGAACGCGAAATTATAGTTTTGGAGCCAATAAAATAACAGCCACAGATTATGATGGTACCTACACAGATCTGGGAGTTCATGAAACCTGAAATATACTTTTGTAAAATCAGGAATTTGTTGATACTGCTGTACAATCTCTATGGAAGCTGGATGATGCTTGTCTTGTCGTCTTCCCCAGCATGTGCTGACCTGTGCAGCGTTTGAGGGAAGTCCCCCTCTACCGTCTAATATCGTATCGGTGGGAAGGGTCCATAGTAGAATACCCCACTCCACATCAGAACAATGGATTAGGGTTTGGGTTGTGGTTAGAGTTATGTTTAGGTTTAGGGTTAAGGTTATTTATTTGTCGGGGTATACTGCAGTCTTTCGTAATGTATGACTTATTCCAACTAAATACATCATTTAATTTCCTATTCCTTGTTTCAACAAACCATGTTATTAACCACTGTATACAGTGTAGGTCTATTCATATATGGCATGGAAAACCGCAGCAAAAAAAGCTTATGTCATTTAAAACAAGATTTAAATGAATGGCTTGTAACAATGGACTTGCATGTATTCATTGAGCTTAAAAGCAAAATGCTGCGGTTTTGATGCATCATATCTAAAAGAGCCTTTTCTGTATTCTTTAGTCCAACAGACTCTCTTATTGACTGTCTTAACCCATTGAGTGTTGAATTCTCTCATTGTGATAGGCTTAACACAGGGACCACTGGGGTCCCATAGTGAAGGGGTTAATATACTTACCTGTATGAAACACTCTAACAATAATTAATTGCTTCCGAATAATACCATTTGAACCATTACAGTACATGTTCTGTGGGAAAAGAAATGGGAGTTCAAAATTTTATTGACCTCAAAATAGTTCACAGATGCAACTCTCCTAGCATTATGTACTCCACAATTAATAGCTAACAACTACTCCTCTTGTATTTTCCTTCTTCCATGATGTTTGTTGTACATGATAACCAATTCCTAGTCTGTTCGCCATTTCATTGAATGTTTGTAATGTATGTGGTTGTAGCCTCTTAAGTGAGATATGAAACTAATTTGCATTTTATAGTGGAAACACAAACAAGACCTTGGTTTAAATGGCTTCTGTTAAAATCGACCTATAGAATAGAACTTAGACTGGAGACTCTGCATCAGATTTAGTTAGACCGAGAGCCCAGTTTAAGCCTAGGTTTACAGTAGAACTTGGGCCTAATGGTCCACACGTTTAACTCTCTTGGCATTAACTATTTCTTGATTAATACATGTAGGTAACAACTGCTCATGTATTTTTCTTCTTCCATGATGTTCATTGTACATGATATCTGATTCCTAGTTTGTTCCCCATTTCATTGAATGTTTGTAATTAATAACATTCTATTGTACTATATTTCTATGTTTTTATGTAGCCTCTTCACTGAGATATGGAAACTAACAAGGCAGGTTCAAACCCTAAATAACTCCAAAAGATGGTTTAACACTAGACGAGGGCTCTACACTAACAGGACGCCTGGACACACAAACTAACACTTGACCCCCCCCCCCCCCCCCAAAAAAAAAAAAAAAAAAAAAAAAAATTCTATATAGGGCTCATACTTAATAGAGACTGTAAAAAGTTCAATCCAGACATACATGTATGGCCCCCCTCCCCCAAATTTAAGTCTGGACCATCCCCCCAAAAAAGGACATTTCCATATAGATCTCAAGCGTGGAGTCTGTAAAAAGTTCAAACCCCCTTTAAAATAGGTTAGTGTGGAGCCCTTCCTAAAAGACAGTCTGAACTAACAATTTAGTGTGGGTAGCCAAAGTGGTAGAAAATGAAAGCTGAACAGAAGATTTGCTTTTTGTTCTTCAAAATCATATTTTTTTTGTTTTGGGGGTTTGTTTGTTTTTAAAAGACATCACATAAAGATAAACATACCGGTACTTCGTTTGCATGTATGTTCTATTTTGATTTTGGGAAAGAATTATTTACTTCTTTGGCCACCCGCAGTAAACCGGTAGTTTATGCCATGCTGTCGGACTTTAAACCATCTTTGATTTATTTAGATTATTGCACTTCTTTGTTGACTGTTTGAATAGAAGCAGTTGCTAAAAATGTTTGCAGATGCTTCATTTTTTTCTTTTTTTTCTTCTTCTCCTTTCTTTTCTTTGTTTCTTACCTTCCTATCTTTTTATTTTTTATTTGTATTTTTCTTCTTCTTCTTTATCTTCTTCTTTCTTCCTCTACTAATTCTTGTCTTCTTCTTTCTCTTTGTCTCTGTATGTCTGTCTCTCTATCTGTTTTCTCTCTCTTCTCGCTCTCTCTCTCTGATTTGGTTTCTGTAAAACCTCTCACAGGTTCACATATTTTTATGGCAATAGTTGACGTATCATTTTTTGTCCCTTCAAAATCTATTTTATGGTAGAATAGTTCAATCTATGCACAACCATATTTGATCTCTGTCTTTATGCACATATGTAGGCACTCCATTGTTATGTCAAATGTTCTTTGCACAAGTTGTAACTAGTGTTAACACCCTTTCACCAGCATTTATCTGTGTTTCATTTTCTGTATTCTTGTTCTTGTGACTCAGAAGTTTTGTGAAGTCATTGTTATTTTCAAACTCACAGGTTCACACATTCTAATGGCACTATTTTGCATATAATTTATTTCCCAATTCAAGTTTATATTGGGAGGGTAGTTAATCAATGCACATCCTTATTTTTATATCTGTCTTTATGCACATAATTATGTAGGCACTTAATTTTCTGTTAGCGGTAAATGTACTTTGCACAATATGTAACTGTTAACACTCGTTTTTGTTTATCTGTGTTTTTACTTTCTGTATTCATGTACAGTCATATTCTTTTTTTCGTTACTTGAAGGTTTTAAAAAGTCATTGTCATAATGGTATTTAAAGTTATTGTACTGTAAGCTAGATGAAATTGAGTTGAACCAGAAATTAAACCAACAATGATTTTTTTTTTTGCAAAACGTATGAAAAAAGAAATAGAAGAATTATCTAAACTAAAATGATTAATTTTATTTAAAATTTTGTTCAAATTTAAGTCTTATTTGCTTTGCAAACACACATTAGCTCAATTAAAATTAATTCATGATTTCTTGTCTACACCTGCTTCTACCTTTACATGGAACTCCCTTCTAATTTTCGAAAAATGTGGACAAGAAACTAGGTTTCAATTTTATTTTGCCTGAGCCTTAGTATTTGTACAATTTGTCTAAGCCGTATTAAAGTATTGCACAATTTCCATATTGCGATTGGCAGCATTCTTACACATGCATATATATTGATGTGCACTCTGCCTTGTACATACACTTAGATGCACTCACTTTACAATCCTCTCATTGTAGTTCACTTGTAAAACCCGGTTCAGATTTCACCTGGTAAACTGCCTCAAAAAATAAAATATAAACACCGCAGCCAAAATGAATGTACATAAAGTCTGAAGCAATATATCAGATTACTGGTAATCCAACATTTACCTGGCGACAATACCGTAGGCCATTTTCGTAGTGCCATATTTCATGCATTCATCTTTGTGAAGTGCCTCAATGCTAGTTATTTCATTCACATGATACAAATTGTTTCTCAATAACCTGAATGCGTATTGCATACATTAGTTGTTGCTAGGTAGGACAAACATTTTGGCTTGCCTTACCTTACACCATGTAAAATATGCAATTTGCATACTGACTATTGGAATACAATAAATCATAACAGGTGATTAAATGGTTCATATCAAGGCACTATAAGCATGAAATTTGGTAACATTACGAAAAATGGCTTTATTGCTCTTGGCTATATTTCGTCAAAAGTATAGGATAAGGGTAAGGGGCTATTAGGACTGCAGTTGGGTTCTATATATTTAGGATCAGGGTTGCATGTTTGAGAAGAGTTAGGTCCAGGGTTCAAGGTAGGAATTCTGTTAGTGTAGGAAACTGACAGAGAACCACTGTCGCAGGAGCATATGTCGTACAACACACACAATTGTATTATGATTTCTATTATGTATTATTATCCTTTCTACTCTTAGATCCAGTGACATCAAGCCGCCGCTTCGTGTCCATCCATCGTTCTTCAGTCTGATCAGAGACATCTTCAGTGCGGCACCAAGCCATCGACTCACCCTCGCCAAGCTGCGAGAGAGCTTGGCAAACTGGCAACGCTCACCAGTCAGTATGCTGAGCACTTGGGCTATCCTCCAGCCAAGCTGGGCCAAGGTAATAATATTAATGGCGCAAGTTACTTAGGCCTAAACAAAAAAAAAGATTGTATCGCCCTTCAGGTGCCAAAACATGGGTCTGTCGGTCGGAAATATTTAAAAAATATTCTTTTTTTTTTACTCCCTCTTTGGGCTGATATTTCTCAGTTTTTAATGCTTTAATACATTTTTTTTCTCTAAAAAACTGTAAAAAAAAAACCGTTTTAAAAAAGCCGACCATAGATTTCAAGATTTGTTCCAACATATTGTCTTTTTAGGCCTCATATTACACCATCTATGTAGTAAACCAATTTGGAAGATGATTGTGGAACTAGGAAGAACAAAAGAGATGCAATACAGTAGACTAGGGAATGCTACATAATTATGTTGAAGTACATTCAGATACTGAAAGATGACTGATTACCGATGATACTTGAAAGAACCACAATTTTTAAAAGGCTTGCTCAGATATGGGGCGTTAAACCAAAGCGAATCAGCCGCCGGCAAACGTTCATTAAAAGCAGATTTTCGATAACTGGCTTCTAAGGTTTTGGCAGCTCTTTACATGTAATACCATTTTTGTAAAACATGACTTGGATTTTCTTTGTGGTGACTAATGAAAACAGAAAGTGGATTGTAACTCCTTAATTTGAGTACTTTCATGTCTTATGAGCACTTCATTTTTTTGTTTTTATGGGAGTTTTATTGCTAATGATGGTGTGCATCCGTGTGTAGCAGAATAGTGCAACGCGTAAACCCCCTCCAAGCCGGACAACCATTCTGCTTAGCTACCTAATGGACCACAACTTTGTCCTTGATACGCTCTCTGACTCGATGCAAATTTAATCCTTTGATAGGTCGTTGATGGTGCTATGAGGTTTCTCAACGGAGAGGTCACCGTCAGTCCAGAGGTCATTCCGAGGGTCAGGTACGACGAGGAGAGACAAATGTGGCAGTGGAGAAGTAAGTAACAGTGGAGGTGTTGTGGTTTAGTGGTTCATTCACTGGACTCTCAATCCAAGGGTTGAGGGTTCCAATCCTAGCCTGGTACTTACGTCACTTGACAAGACATTAAGCCACTTTTGCCACTCTTACCCAGATGTTAAAAGGGTAGCCGGTAGGATGTGAAAGTCATTGTAGTTTGCTCAGCATTGTGACTTTGTGAGCATCTGTAATATGGCACATTGCTGGAATACTCCCAGGGAGCGGAGAATGTGCATACATTGTGTGTGGGCAGATCTGAATCCATATTCAGTATAAATTTTCTGTGTAAAACTGATGTATTGACATTGCAAATTTATATGAAACTAAAAAATAAAAAATATGAATCCAGTCACCAGTGAATTATGCAGAAATGTCCCAAAGTCATTGAAATTTATCTTGGGTGTGGGTCGTGTGTGGTGTCAGATTTAAATACTGTAAATTACTATGGTCTGACGATAAATTAGGTTCTGATGAAATGAGTATGTATCACAAGAAAATCAAGCAATTTCAAGAGTAAAATATAGTGTACAAACAGTTTATTTAAGAGCCATCGGCTCAATTTAATTAAACATGCAAATAATTGACAAAAATAAAATGATTCAGAATCACTATGAACTTAAATAGGAGTATTTCCTATCACTGTATATATCGTCTTATCGGCACTCGATTATATCACAATATATCACTCCACATTTCCACAGGAAAATAAATTACCTGATGACCAGGTCATCCTTCGAGGTATAACATAAAATCAATCATCCACCGATTCTAGCCCGGTCTTTATATATAAAGTAAACTGTTGTGAGTTAGAGAGTCCCGATTTAGAGTTCGTAAATACCACCTCTTCCTGTTTCTGAGTATGTGAAACAAAATACTCCAGTGTATGTAGTATCCCGGTGCGGTGGTGCATGACCTGCTAAGCCTGTCCAACCTGACCGGTGTACGACCGCAACGGGAGTTGACTCGATGACTTGACGCGAGTAGGTTGCCTGAGCGTGTCGACTACGAACACATGTCCATTCACTCCATTGATGGTGCCTAGAATTATGGCTACGAGCCCAGCTTGTCCAGTTCAGATGTTCAAACAATGATTCAAGATGAGGCGAGGACTGATGAGGCTTCTACCACGTCGGCCTGTGCTGCCTGGTTCTTGCCTGGCCCCATAATATAGGGAAAGTCTATGCCAACAGCAGCATGCGTACAGCCTGTGTTTGTAACTTTTACCTTCGTGGCCAACACCCCTCATTCACTCCCAAAATCAGATCAAGTTCTGACAGGTCTGCTCCTCTCGAGATCTCATATGCAATCTGATTAAACTACCCTAAATCTCTCATCCACTTTGGCTCTCTCAATAGTAACCTCCTTAACATTCTTTGTATTCCTCTCATGCCAAAACTGTCCATCCAAATTCCTTTTACTGAATCCTCTATACCAAACTTTCCTATTAACATTCTCCTCATCCTTTCCACACACACAGACAAAGACAGACACCTGCTCTACTAGAGACCCAAGTTAGTTGACCTAGTAAATTGCTACCAACAACATCTATTCGGCTAACACCTGTCCATTACATTCTCTGTCTAAAAAAAAGAAATCCCAGTCACATTGTGACATGTGGCTAGGGCAGCCTTTTAGGTTTAACTGACGATGGGCGTGGTATTTGCACGCCACTTGGATACTGCAAACTATACCAAACTGGTACTAATCCGGTCATGGAAAGTCAAGGAATTAGGTTCTCAAAAAACTGTGATTGAAAATTGTACATACAATTGGTAGAGGAAAAAGGAATCACTTTATTTGTGAAAATCTGAAAAGTTGGGGTTGCACCTTAAACAAACTATTAGTTTTTACATGTAATTTATCTTTAACAGGTGAGTTACCTCCAGATTCAGAGGAAGAGCTGGTGACCCTTTTTAAGCAGTGGTTAGACACCCTCCCAGGTATGAGAGCAGTACCACCAATACCCAAAGAACTTGACACCAGTACCCCTACCACACCATCAACTAGGTGAGTGTTTGTATGTATGTTCCTTGGTCCGTATTCAACAACCTTTGTACTATAGCCTATGTAATTAGTTGACAACTGGCTAACGTTTTATGAATATTGGCCCTGGGGAGTGTTTCACAAAGCCTTTTTTCAATGACAAATGACAAAAAACAGTGACAAATCTGCTGATAACCAATCAGAAGCAAGGATTTCAGTAGCTTATAACAAAAACTGTCATTTGTCACTGATGACAAGTTTTGTGAAACACCCCCCTGATTTGTATGCCTCTGGCACCAAAGGTGGTGCAGGAGGCATTATGTTTTCAGATTGTCCGTCCGTCCTGCTTTTCGTTACCATTGAGCAAATTTTAACCAAACTTGAGTCAAGTTTGTATATGCATGCAAAGATAAACTTAGTAGATTTGGGGTGTAAGAGGTGAAAGGTCACAGAGTCCTAAAATGGTTAAAACATGCCAGAAACTTCTTGTTACCACAGTAGATTTGTAGTAATTCAAATCAAACTTGGATGTTGTGTGAATGAACTTACAAGGGTAAACTGCTAAGATTTGGGGCAGAAGAGATCAAAGGTCAAAGGTCAGTGTCATGAAGTGTTCAAATATGCCAGAATTGATCTCATTACCACAATAACTTGAAAAGCATGAAAGCAATTCAAAGCAAACTTGGGTAGATTGTGTATGAGCATGCAAGGATAAACTTTGATATTTTTAGGCTGAGAGGTCAAAGGTGAACGGTCATAAGTTAATGAAAGTGTTTAAAGTCCAAATGATTTGATTCATTTACTCTTTTTAAAAATAATAATAATAATATTCCGCTCTTATATAGCGCCAAATACATTGATACAATGATGTGTCCAAGCACATAACAGATAAATTATTACCCCGGTCATTGGATTCAGGCTTACCCGCACACAATGTATGCACATTCTCCACTCCCTGGGGAGCATTTTAATTATTGCTTTCTTTGATGTCATTCCAGTGTTCCCCAAACTGTAACAGAAATGATTGAGAGTAAGGTTGAGGTGAAACCAAGCTTCGCAGAGCAGGTGAGTCATTCTTCTCCTCATTTATTTACCAAAAGTTCTTTAGTTTGCCACGTGGCCTTTTGAAGATATACAAATCGAGGGGTCAGTGACACAAAGACGTAACTCCATATTTTGCCAAAATGAGTATTTGATATCAAAATGTTCAGAAAAATGTGAGCTTTCCAGGAAACACAAAGACTTAACTCCACCGAACACCCCTATTGAAGTCAATGGCTAGTGAAACATACACTTAAATCCTTAAGGCCCAAGTGCTCAGAGACACATAAACCTCTCTTTCTCAAAATGGCCAAAATGGAGTTACGTCTTTGTGTCACTGACCCCTCGAAATGTAAAAATGAAAATCTAGCTCAATTATACAAGAAAAACAAATGTATGTTGCATGAGTGCACTCTTTTGTGTCATCTTTCTATTGTTAAAACTTGTTTGTTTTGTGATGTAAAGTTCTTGATTCATTTTTATAAGATAAAAACCTTTTTGGTAAATGAATTCATATAGGAAACAAGCCTAATCGGTGACCATTGGTCCCCCATGATCCTCTTTTTCTTATGTTAATCGAGAGCTGAGTTGATGAGATAGCCACCTGTCAGTGAGCACCCTGGGTGGTCTAATCCCTCCTAGCCAAACTAGTACAGGCGGTCTTTAAAGCCATACCGCACTAGAAGTACTATCGCAAAATCCCCTTTAACACCATCTTGGGTCAGCTGAAGCAGTATGGTCCTGTAACTCGCTGCTTCCCTAACTGGGCTGCTGGTTCTCACATCAAGTCCTCTGTCTGCGAAGTGGAAATTAGGTATCGAGTTACGCACTGTTGTCAAGTTGACCATGAGATGGCGCTGTCCAATGAACAGTACACTAGGGCAGAAGGTTAATCAGTTCAGTATCACTTTAAGGCCGTCTGTACTAGTTTTGCCAGGAGGGATTAGACCTCCTGCGTGGTCACTGACAGGTGGCTATCTCATCAACTCAGCTCTCAATTAACATAAGAAAAAGAGGATCATGGGGTACCAACGTTTACCAATTAGGCATTGCTTTTTATATAGAGGGAGCAAGTAGCTACAAGTAGTACAGTGGGGCTTTAATACAGAAACCACATGGGTCAATAACATTTTCTGTGTTATCCATGATACAGGAGAGAGAGAGATACAGCCAGCCACACAAAGCCTTTGTGTACAAGATGGCCGACTACGAGGCGGTCGTCGCTCCGGTCAAAGGTGTGTTTGGGAAGGAGACTACTCCAAACAAAGCCAGAGAACATGCCCTTCTCATCTCCGATCGACCATCGTATGTCACCATACTCTCTCTAGGTAAGCCTAAAGTCCCTTTCAGACAGGCCTGATTTCATTCCACTTGATATCAAGAACAATTTATAGCAACTTTTATCATTTTGCAAAATATGTATATAGCTTGAGGTATGAACAATTATGATAACTTTATATTTCATCATTTTAATTGTACATGTACCTGACCATCCTGTTTTTATGCACATTTTATGTAAAAATTGCATTATTGGTCCTTGGACTACTGATTTGTACATTGTAGATGTTGATGGTAATAAACCAAAATTGAATTGAATTGAATTGAATTGAATTGAACTGAATTGAATTGAACTGAACTGAATTGAATTGAACTGAACTGAATTTAATTGAATTGAATTGAACTGAATTGAATTGAACTGAACTGAATTGAATTGAATTGAACTGAATTGAATTGAACTCAAATTGATGCATTTGATTGGCCTTGAGCAGATTTGCTATAGAAATGTGCCATTTGAAATAAGAAAAGGGTAGAATGCAGCAAATAATTGCCACAGTAAGACTTTGTGTGTCTTATCCATTGCATAAAAGCTGACGCAGTATCTGACTCGGTTTTTCTAAATAGTATAAGTAGTAATTGTAGTTAATAGTAGGAGTAGTAACAGTACAAACAGAAGTAGTAGTAGTAGTAGTCGTCGTGGTTGTTGTATTAGAAGTAGTAATAGTAGTAGTGGTGATGCTAGTTGTAGTAGGAGTCATATTTTTATTATCTTTGTATGTATAATCACTATTGCTAATTTTTTTTCTTTTTTAATGAATGTTATAAATCACCAGTGCGAGATGCCGTAGCAAGGCTTCCTAATGGTGAAGAGACAATTTCATCACTTTAGTCTTGATTTCAACCGCAACAACTTTCATCAAATATTGTGAAATCGCATATGCTTCCAGTATGTTCATTTGAACCAAATTCATGACCCCTTACCAAAACTTTGTATTACCTTCAATCACCAGTGCGAGATGCCGTAGCTCGGCTTCCTAATGGCGAAGGGACCAGAGCAGCCGTGTGTGAGCTTCTCAAAGACTCCCAGTACCTGGCCGACTCCAGCGATTCCCAGATTAACAACGTTGTGAGTGGGGCCCTCGATAGGCTTCACTACGAGAAGGATCCATGCATCAAGTATGATGTGAATCGTAAGCTGTGGATCTATCTTCATAAAGAACGCACCAAGGAGGAGTTTGGTAAGAAAAAATGAATGTGAAACCAGAATTTTCCTGCCATTGAAATCCACTTGAAGCTACCTTTTAGCTACTTGCGCCCTCTATATAGCAAGCAATGCCTAATCGGTGACCATTAGTCCCCCATGATCCTCTTTTTCTTATGTAAAGTGAGAGCTGATTTGATGAGATAACCACCTTGCAGGGTGGTCTAATCCCTCCTGTAAACTAGTACAGATGGGCCTTTAAGGAATGTTGTGTCTCCCTTGTAACAATTTCCTAAAATAGCAAAGTTATTGAGAGAATCCATTTTGACCCTTTCTAAGTTAAAAAAAAAAAGAATGTGACCTTTAAGATGACATTTTCGTTAATCACATCTGACTCTTTTTCTTAATTGTCATTATTTTTGTTTACAGTGTCCTTATGTGATTGTATTTTTTTGTTCTTTTGTTATTTCTCAGAACGTCTCCACATGGAACAAGGTGCTGAAGCCAAGGCAAGGAAATCTATCGCTCGTCAAACCAAGCTCCTGCCTAAAATGACAGTAAGATACTTCTTTACTAGAAATGTACATTAGTCTGTCTGCCCTCATTCCTTCCCCCCTCTCAGCCCTTCTTCCTGTTCCCTACCCTGTCCTTCCTCCTCTGCCTCTCTTTCCTCCCTCATTTCTCTTAAAGGTATAGACCAGTTCTGGTCATGCGATTGCATTGTGAAAGAAACGTTGTGGAATTGATCAGAAAAGGTTGATCATCTTGCATATAAGTATTGGTGTGTACTGCAAGGTTCTGGAATCATCAAAATGATAAGAAATTTGGCCCAGTCTTGGTAAACTAAAAGTTTACAAGCACTGTACACAGAAACATGTATATGGGTCTACCCTATTTCTATCCAGTCCGGATAGATATAATAATTTACCAAATATATCAATTAGTAGGCGGTGTCCATGCAAAATTTGTATTATTACGTAAAAGTCAAAACATATTCTTGCACATGATTGGTAATAAGAGCTTCCATTTCATTTTTTGAGAGGGGGGGGGCATTTCAAAAGCTGGTCTTTACCTTTAAGGCTCGTTCAGACATGACATGGCAAAATTGCTGTTTTTTAATTTTATAATGACATAAAGTGTAATACGCTTCACATTGCTCAATCTTATAACACAGAGCTCAGTGAATACGTGCAAGTCCTTTGTTGCATACAGGTGACATTCATTTACACGTGAACAAAATAATGGCGTTTATATGCAGCGGTTTATGCGGTTTACCGTGCCATATCTGAACAAGCCTTTGTATTTCAAGACTTTCCACGACCTTGTGCAACATTATATATCTTGTGGAATGGTTTTACTTGATAGAGATAGTTATGTCACAGGAACTTTCTTCCGATTGGTCAGTCATTTCATGAAGCTCCAAGTAGTTCCCTTTGAAAGAGATTGTGCGTGGGACAGGGAGGGAACTATTTTGATGAATGTGGTTTAACCTATGACCACGCTTGCGTTTCTGTAGTTGCACCTGTCAAAAATATCTCTGTCAATACACTGGTTTTACCTAACGGTTCTAGATTATTTTACAATATCCAATTGAAAAGTACTGTACAGACAATAAAAGATTGACACGTAGCCCTTATATTGCACTATGTACATGTAACCTCTCTGATATTTGGTGACTATTTTTCATGCTGATCATCACTTCATACATGTCAGTAAACGTGCCAAATGGCACTTGAAGCATTAGAAGGTCAACGATATCATTTGTAAAGTGCAATAACTATGTGGATATATTCTAGTGCGCTGCAAGAGCTCGTAAATGCTGTGCTATACATAATACATGAACAAATGAGTTTTCAGTCTGAATTTAAAAAATTCTAGTGATGGGGCTTTCCTTATTTCTAGTGATAATCTGTTCCATAATCTAGGGGCAGCACAAAGAAATGACCAGTCTCCGAGGGTTACTTTGGTTTAATATAGGGGTATTTGCAACATAAATGTGTCTTGTGTACTACAAAGGTTACGACCATGAGTTTGAGACTTGATATTCAACATCAGGAAACATTTAGAATGTCACACTAGTCTAATTCTGCTCCTCTTCTCTCTTTGCTTTGTTTGACAGTCTGGTCTTCGAGATTCCCCGATCAGTTTCCAGGCCTCTAGACCAGGGTCAGCCATGAGCGATGCTAGCAGTGAGAATCTAAGCATTGAAGTCTGCAGCCCAAAGGCATCGCCCGGTAGAGCATCGAGTCCTAAAGCCAGTCGCAAGAGTCCTGCGTTTGCTAAGATGAACCCTGTACCTGGCTTTCCTGGAGGGGTAGACTTAGGCAGAGGCGACCGTCCCGTGTCTTCTGGCTCTGTATCGACAACCGGTGGGAAGATAGTTTCTACTCATGCACCAGGCCAAGCTCCGTTTGTCATCAGCCCGCAGAAGATAGACAGCCTTCAGTCTGCGTTAAGAGGCCTTCATCAGAGTCCAGCAACCGCGCGTATTGCTGGAGGGGATAACCTGATACGAGCGCAGCTTCTTGCTGCAAGGGCCTCGGAGGGTAGTTCAGGTGCATTTGGTGCCCAGGGTGTAACAATGTATGATGGCACTTCGGTCACTTCAGTCGCAGATATTTTGAAAGGAACAATAGGTTCCATGGGAGACATGTCATCAAGGACTTCAACTAGTGGCTTTCAAGAGATGCCTAAGTTTGTGAAGAGCATGTCTGTCCCATGTACCCTACCTGATGGGAAGGTGGTGATGATTTCACCAGAGCTGCTGATGCCTAGTGGAAAACCAACAAAGAAGAGAGCAAGGAGCGGAAGTGGAGGGCGAAAGAAAGGGAATGCTGGACAGTCAACAGAGGGAGCTGTGACTTTGAGTGGTGCTTCGGATCTGAGCAAATTGATCAGCTCCAACATCATCACCCCAAGCTCTGTTACTGTTAGTCAGGGTACGTCAAAGACAAGTCGGAAGAGTGTGACACCATCGCCTACCTCAGTCACGCTTGGGACGAACAAACTGGCAACCGTGAGTGAGGCTCTTGCTCAGAAACGAGCTGAGGCAGCTCTGCAGAGTGGCAGACAGCAGAGCAGAGGCCAGTCTACAATAACACTACCTCCTGGTGCACTTAAAGGACAAACTGTGAAAAGCATTCTGGCAAGTGTGGGTATCCCACTCTCAGGTGCCTCGGTCACTGTATCAAGGATTGATACTCCAGGTTCATCCTCGTCAGCCAAGCAGGGCTCCACCAAGAGCAAAGATAGCAGAAAATCACCAGTATTTTCTGGTGTTAATATTTTAGGAAGTCAACCGGCTACAAAGGGAAGGCCATCCTCTGCTCCTTCTATGAGTGGGAAGAAGTCCCCCATTACAAGTATGCATCATGCTTTAGGCCATCAGACAATTGGTTTGACTACAGTTACAAAAGGTGGTCAGGTTGTGGTCCAGCCAGTTGCCTTGGGGATAGAAAGACCTGGCTCTGCCGCATCACCTGGTATTGCAAGACAATCCTCAAGTCCAGCCGCACAAGCACTTACACTCAAAGCCATACCCGTGTCATTAGCCAAGAAGCATGGTCAATCTGCATCTCAAGACTCCAGGAAGATGCCGCATCAGATCACCTCAGAAGCAGTCGGTGTGGGTCAAGATGACCATGATGGCTCAGGGAAGAAGAGGATGGGGAAAGGAGGACACCCTAAGCAACACTTTGTGTCAGGAAATGCGGCTGCTGCTCTTGCTCAAGCAGGAAAGATGTCAGCGGGAACAGAGTTAAAGGACTTTGCATCTGTACCTTTGTCACTTTTGTTTCCAGGATCTCGGCAAGGAGGTAATCAGAAAGGTGGCCTACCCTTATTGACAAGCCCCTTTTTAACAGGAGGTCAAATTCCAATAGCCAGCTTAACAGATGGGAAAGGAGTTGTTTTCCAGATGCCCCATGGTTCTAACCTCATGTCCTTACCAATGTCTGGAGTACCAGTCAATCCTCAGAGATCAGGTGCTATGGCAGGCAGTCCGGGAGGACAGTCTCTGTCATCAAGTGGTGCCTCAACTACGACAGTATCCGCTGCACAAAGTGCAAGGCAAATTCACCATCACCTCTCGCAAGGAGGATCTTCAGCAAAGACATCACCTGCCCTTCCCTCCAATATAGTGACAGCCACCATCCGGAGTGCCCTTGCAGCAGCTCAGAACAGGGCCAATCCCCATCAAGGTTTATCAGCGGCTCATTTATCTCAGTGGGCGTCCCAACAGAGTACTTCTGGATCAATGAAAGCGGACATGCAGAGTGTCTCGGGTAGAACAAGCCAGGGTGCATCCATGATGCCTTCTCATATGACGTCTACCAGTGGTGGGATGCCTTCACAGTATAACTTCCCTCCATCAGGGTCAAGATCCCGCATGCCACCTTCACCTTCAGAATCAAAGACATCATTAACAGCTTCATCCATTGCCAGCATTATTGCCAATCTGAAGCAGAATCCAATGGCTGCCATATCTCTGCCATCAGTGTCTTCTTTTGTCCCATCGGCCAACGTATCAAGATCGATGTCTCAATCCTCAATGCAAAACCAACCTGTTTATTCACAAGGGTTCATCAGAGCACAGATGAAGCAATCAGCAGCCTCAAAGACCACCTCCCAACCAGCAGCTAGCCCTTCACACCCACAGTCAACCCCTCCTAGAGGTGCAGGACCTACACTAGCAAGATCCTTGTCACAGCCATCATCATTGTTCCCTCAGATGCCATCAGCTGGATTCACCAGAGACCTCTCGAGAATGCAAAGCCAATCAACAACATCAGCTCCTTCCAGTGCGTCTCAAGTGAGTAGGAGCGTACTACAAACTGCAGCAGGAAGTGCCTTGTATGCGACTGCCTCCAACCCATCTGCAATGGGAGTTTCATCTTCAAGGATTTCAGCAGCATCCCGTGTAGCAGTTCAGTCATCCGCCAGTACCGCGACTCTGAAATCTGTACCCATGCAGCCCACATCTGAAATTCCTCCCGATGTCAAGCCTGTCACACAAGCCAAGCAGCGCCAAAATCCTGGAATCATAACAACTTCAGAGTCCAAGTTTGTACCCAGCTCAGCTACACCTGCAGGCACCAGATACATGTCTACAGGAAATACCAGGTTACCTGCAGGAGTTAAGCCTGTATCGACTTCAAATATTGGAACACCTACAGGAACTAGACCTGTGTCTACAGGAAATAATGGTAAAACTACAGGATCCAAGACTGTATCTACTGCAAGTGCAGGAATGCCTACAGGAAGTAGACCTATATCTACACCGGTCACAGGAAGTAGACCTATACCTACACCGGTCACAGGAAGTAGACCTATATCTACACCGGTCACAGGAAGTAGACCTATATCTACACCAGTCACAGGAAGTAGACCTATATCTACACCGGTCACAGGAAGTAGACCTATATCTACACCGGTTACAGGAAGTAGACCTATATCTACACCGGTCACAGGAAGTAGACCTATACCTACACCGGTCACAGCAGGGACTACAGGATCAACAACTCAGGTGTCTGCAGCACCCCCTCAAAGAGTCATTCCTCCTCTGGAGCCCAGAGTGACACGAGGAAAATCGAAAGGGAAAGCAGCAGTAAAAAAGGAGGAGTCTTGATTTAAAGCTAGCCTTATAGATACTATTTCAATTTTGCAGCCAACATCAAATTCTGTAGAATTTTGCAGGATTTATGAATATGTCATGTATGTCCTATCTGTGAAATTTAAACATTATCAGTGTTCTAGTATTCAAATTATGCAAGGAAACCCGTTTTACATTCTAGAATCACTGTCAGACGCTATTGAATGACTGACTGACCACTATTTTTTCTTTGGTAGTAACATACATAAAATGAGCTGTAGCAGGTACATGTACATGTCGATTCAACAACTAATGGTTGTTATTTTCCTAATAAAAGCCTTTTTCAAGCCCCTTCGTTTTGAGGAAAGTTCTAAATTAGTATTGTGTTTCAAATGCCGTTGGAATGTAACCTTTTCAATTTTTTGAGGTCTGCAAATACGACATAGGTAGTACCTATAATAATCAAAATTTGTGGTGATGAACTGCATTTTGAGAATCATTGGCTTGAATTAATACTGATTTCTTCATCGTAAAGGGGATCAGTTATTTGGTTCAGCAAATAATAACAATTTCCCCCCTTTCATTACCAGAACTTGAGATTACCCGTAACGCCTTGTTCAGTTATGACGCGGCAAAATGGCTGCCGTTTATTTATGCTGACGTAAAGTGTACTAGACGTTACATTTCTGTATCTTATAACACAAAGACCTCAGTAAATACGTGCAACTGCATTGTTGCCCGCAGGTACCGTTTATTTACACAAAAAATAAAAACGCTGCAACTCTTTTGCGGAGGTTTACAGCGTCATATCTGAACCAGCACTGGTAGACTTTTCTTTGCCTGTTAGTAATTTTTGAATGATGAACGATTACATATATTGCCTTGATGTTCTTGATTTCTTACGTAAATTAAGCACAGCATTAATTGTATTGAATGTGTTCTGTTGACATAATTGATAGTGTATAAAGAATGTTTACTGAAAATATTGTAAGATATTTTGTAATGTGATTGCACTGTCCTTGTACTATACTTGTCCATTCTGAGGCTGTACGAAAATGAATTATATGTAGTTGAAATATTAGACAATTTCTCATGGTGCTTATATGAATAAATAGGTAGCTTTTTATGTTTTACTATGTGCTATGCATATTATACATGTAATGGGTGTGAACAAGTCCAAGTTATTGTTTCCTCTACATTACGGACCACATCTAAGATTTTAGCATATCAGGGGAGTGTTTCACAAAGACTAAGATTGACTTTAAGTTGGACTTAACTATGGCATGCCATTCATGCCACTGTGTTCTCTCACCATTTCCTGGCATTGGTTTCTCAAGGGACTTACAAATTGTGGTCACAAATCGTAAGAATTTACTTTTTTTGATAGTTCATTATAAAAAAAAAAATTCTCTAAAGATCATAACTGAGAGACCAATGGTGAGAGCAACCAGTGGCATAAATGGCCTGCCATAGTTAAATCTAACTTAAAGTTGATTTTAGTCTTTATAAAACACCCCCTGATCAATGATCATTGTATTACATTTAAGTTGAAAGCCCTACTTGAGCTTGAATCAGACCATATATGAAGTGGAAAACCACACTTCGCCAGGAAACACAAGGTGATTGTAGTAGGGTTTGCAGGTCCATGGTGACTTCATTTATTAGATGGAATTCATAAAGTCAAGTGTACATACAGAGGACAACATTACACCAATGGCGACAACTACAGTAGATCATAACATTGCCCCATGACGGTTTATATAATGTCAATCTATATTCAAATTCCACAAAATTAATACTTGTACCGGTACTTAATAATATTGGTAATACCAAAACACCAATTAGCTTTCAGCTCCCACCTATGTTGCCCTATAGCCTATAGGAGTTCAACAATTTTGCAGTCATCTGGTTAATTTAGTCCATTATTATTCTTTATCTAAAGACACATAGTAGTGGGCTCTCATGGCGAATTTGACACCGTTCAAGTATTGACCTGATAACAGATGTCGTCAATTACCAGGGTCCCATTATATGAAACTTGCCATTGATGGTAACTTTGTCATTAATGTCAACTACCATGGCAACATCACTCAACAGCCAATCAAATCACGTTTCTATGAAAGTTACCATCATTGGTAAGTTTTATGCAATGGGCCGTTGAGACCTCTACTTTTATGTAAATGCTCAGCATTTTCCATAAATCACCCCTTAAGGAAAACTCTTATCTTATATTAAGCCCGCCCAAAGACTCGCTGAGAGAATAGTGTGTATTTTCTTGCTAGTTTGCTGTATGGGAGACTTGTACTCTAATGAATGGTATTTCCACCAAGTCGGGTGTCTTCAAATTATGACCGACTTCACATGGACATCTCCCACTATACCCCTTTGAATAACTCTTGAGGATGTCAATTCTATGTTGTGTATTATTGTAAATTCATTGTACAGGATTAAATTTTTCTAAAAATTTGCATGAAACTGCTTTGATTTTTGTGGTACATGTATTACTTCATAAAGACTAATGATAAGTGCTTAAATGAAACCAAAACCTTCATACTAAGTTACTTTTATTGTAAAGTTTAAAAGATTTGAATAAATCGGTGAAAATTTGAACAAAATCGGGTAAGGAATAAGAAAGTTAGAGCTTTTTGAAATTACTAGTCACTAGAGGGCGGTATTCAATTTGATGACATCATCTGTGAACAACTCTCCATGCCTTTTGTACATAAAATTTCACAATTTTGTTTTCTTCTTTGTATTTATTTGTGTTCTTGATCCGACTTCATAACATGTGAAGTAGAATATCATTTTGCATTCTATATCTTGCTTTCAGGGGAGTACATTATCTCAATCACAAGAAAGAAGGAAAAACATGAAATTTGATGTACAAAAGGCATGGAGAGTTGTCCACAGATGATGTCATCAAATGGAATACCGCCCTCTAGTGACTAGTAATTTCAAAAAGCTCTTACTTCCTTATTCCTTGCCCGATTTTGTTCAAATTTCCACTGATATTTTTCAAATATCTTAAACTTTACAATAAAAGTAACTTAGTATGAAGGTTTTGGTTTCCTTTAAATGATGAGAATAAGGATGGGGTGGTGTTGATGTTCATTTGCATCTTATTTTGTATTATTAATTCACAAAGCCAAGTGATTACAATGGCTATTATGATAATGGCTGAAAATAATGAGGGTAGGGGTGCATCTTGTTGATGATGTTGAGAGAATGAGAATAAGGTTTTTTAGCCGGTGCCCCCATTCCCCAAAGTGATATTGATTTGGAACATACTACCTCCTCCCCCTCAATTTAATACCGACACAGGCTCATTCAGGCCCTTCAATTTTCCCTGCCTATTAATAAGACCTTCCTCACTGGATATGTTCTATTTTGCTGTAGAGGGCAAGTCCCTGGCAAAGACCATAACTTCAATAACTAAAGTAATCTGTAAAAGATTGAATAATTACTTCTTATATCTCCATGCTTTTACCATGCATTGTTCTTCCAACAGTAACAGCTAGCTTTGAGCGTTGATCAAACCAGATTTGCTCGATCAGGCACCTTCTGTAATATTCAGTTGTTAAAAGGGCAAAATGGAGCAGATTATAGAGATGGGCCCTTCATAAGAATGATTCTCATAAAACTAAACGGTATTAATCAAGGCAGTAGTAATAAGACCAGGTATAGATCCTGGCGTTTTGGCCTCTGGTCTGGACCGTACCCCCTTGCAAATAAGTTGAATGTCAAAAATAGAGGGGGACAAAAAGATGAAGATAATGGGAGAAAGTGTGTGTGAGAGAGAAAGAGAGGGGTAGGACATACACAGGAGAAGCTAATATCCCTGAACAATGTATACATAGAAATATATGGGAGGGGGGGGGGGGTATATGTCCAGACTCCAGAGGGGGCTTGCCTTGGAAAATTCTCCATTTTTCTTAAAAGGGGAAGGCCACCCTAATAGCAAATTGGTTTTAATAGAAGCAGAAACAAAAGTAAAGAAACATATCTCCTATTTTTCTGCTAAACATCAGCACGACTTGCCCTTTACCATGTAGACGGCTTGTTTTTTCTACTTTTACTCTTCATCAAATAAATAAACCCTTCATAGATAATGGGCTGTGTGGAAAAAGAAAAATCAGACAATGACGAGAGTTTTGGAAAATGGTACATGAATATTTAAAGAAAGTAGGGTAAAAATAATTTTGTTCTGAAACTTGCAGTTTTGGTCGTTAACCCTACAACCTCCTCCAAATTTTCTCTGTCTCCCTCTCACGCTCTAAATCTGCTCTTTTCAAACAAAATCCTTTGCATTTGCATTTTCTCAAACTGTCCGTATCCAATTGTGTTTCAATTTCCATTCTCCATGCTTTCCTCTAATTTTTCTCTCATTTAAAAAAAAAAATTATGAATAATATTGGAATAACTCCAAGCGAAATGAAACAAAACACCTTTATTCCTTTGTTTTCTTCATAATAATTTAAGGTTTATTCTGACATTAAATACTTTTGGACATTAGAACACACTCAAGTTTTATGCACATTTAGAGTGGAAGCTCTCTACCCACAAGTATGTGCAAATGATGAAAGACATCTAAGCAAAATTTATTGATAATTACAAAGAGTGGCTTATAAATGCTGCATTGTCTATATAAATCATGCTCGTATTATGTATGTAATACCATAGAGATATTGACTGGTAGAGTGTTATTTAACTTTTTTATTTTTACCGCAGAAGGAAGTTATATTTTCCCAAAGCGTGCAGCTCTGAGGGAAAATATGACCCCGAATATGCCACCAATGTCGCCTGAGAGATTTATTAGTATTTTTCTTTGATACATCACTGTATTATCCAAAAGTATTGTTATGCCGTTCTTCCATTTTTCAATATAGTTGTAGTAGCATTTAAGTGTCACAAAACAGGATAGAACACACAGCACATGAGAGGTGTATGAGAGTATTTTATTACCAGTGAGGCTGTGTGATGCCCTCTTTTTATATAAACATTATAACTGTTTCTTTTCTTAAATCTCACAAACAAAATTGTCACACTACATAGCTTTAACTGTAAACATTCTGAAGATCGCCACTGAAGCAAAATGTGGAATGCAGTATATTTCATATCTATTTTAATACACACAAGCTTTCAGAAAAGCAAAACAAATGGTATTCTTTCTGCTTGAAGTAAATTGCAAAATAGCCCTCTACTTTTTAATCCGGGGAATTACCCCGATATTTGAAAAGGCGTCTTCATCAGACCCGAGTACGGAAAACAGAACTAGCTGGAGCTTCATTATTATTCAGCCCGATGTTGACGTATTCGTAAAAAGTCAAGTAAATTGTGCGTGTGACACATTGCATGACGGGATCGATAAGTCAGCTCCGTCATCACCTTGACTGAAGACGCGCCCAGAATTATTAGCCTAAAATTAGCTGGCTCTTTCGCAAAAAAGATTGATCTGGCTATTTCCAAGGTGAAATAGCCAGCTATTTGTATCTTCGTTAGGGATTTAGCTGGCTATTTCCTGACTGGGCTAGATCTCTGGACCAGAAAAAACCCAAAATAGAGGGCTAATTCTAAACTTTGGTTTGATAAAGACAGCCCTGGCGATTCCATATGGCTACCTCAGAGCATACTTAGAGCAGGTGTGAAGAATCCCAATGCCACCAAGATCACGCAGTCTCTCTAAGTGTCTGCATAAAGACAAAGATAAAGACAAGAGAAACAGAATGAGAAATGCATAGACAATAGACATGGAGACCGACAGAGAGAGACAGAAAGGGAAAGAGAGAGAGAGGGAAAGAGAGACAGAGAGAGGGAAAGAGAGAGAGAGAGAGGGAAAGAGAGAGATAAAGAGAGAGAGGAGTGAGAGAGAGAGAACACGGTTACATTCCAATTATCAATGAAACTAACATTTTTAAAAGAAACATCTACATGTAACAACAACAAAAACTGCAATTAAACAATATTGACTGTCTGTATGAGAAACTATGCAGGAGATGTACAGTTTCAATTTTTGAAAAAAATATATGTCCATTATCAGTACGTACTGAATGAGTGCGCTATAGCAGGACCCCCATGTCCCCTCACTGATGTTGACAACTCACAACTGGAGTCATATTTAAACAGTAATCAGTTTTTAATAGCTATGGTTGATATACAAAATAATTCTAGGTCTGTACCTTTGGTTTGACGTTGCCAATTTGGCCAGGGTAATAGCACAATTCTGCTTAATGGTTTCGTTGTTCGTATCCGTCTTGGCCAGTAATGTCTTGACCACGTCAGTGTCTGCTAACCTCTCACTGAGCCCTTCAACCTGGACACAATGACCGATTGAGAGAGCAACGTTGGCTACCACTGTATCGCTGGTGGATGTCAGGAGAGAGAGGAAGCATCCAAGATCTGAAAGGAACAGGAGATTGTATGCCATTATAAACTGGAAGCTGCAGAGATAATAATAATTTTTATTTGCTTATATAGCACCTAACATTTACTTTATCAGAAGTCTCTAAGTGCTCTACAATAATGCAGCATAATTACCCTGGCTTTAGCAGTGCCGCTGTCATGCGCGTTGCGTTTCAAGGAATAAATTCCTACCAGGTCCCCATTTACTTTACCTGGGTGGAGTGTGGCAAATGTAGACCAATGTCTTACCAAAGGAAATTAGTGCCAAGAGGTGTGAGAGGGGTAACAAGAAAAGAGATGAGGCGGAATGATTAGGTACAGAAGGAAAAAAAAGTGGCAGGGATGAGGGAGAAGATTAGAGAGAGAGCAGAGTCGGGTGGTATGGATGTGTGAAGAGGAAAGATGAAGATGAACTGATTAGATTGGCAGCAGAGAGAAAGGAGTAAGGAAGGAGAAAGAACGAAAGACCCAAGAAGAGGTGGAAAGATTGTATTGAGGAAGACTAAAGAGAAATTGATTTTGGAGCTGGCTACAGACAGGACGAGATGAAGAGTGGTAACGAGGAGACCTGACCCACCATAGAGGTAGTCACTGAATAATGATGATGATGATAAAATGGGTTCTTGAATGTAGGCAATCTAATTGGTCAAATGACATCACGTGACTGTGTATTTTTATTTCATTCCATTAGGACCGTGCAAATACTTTCTCATCAAAAAGTGAAGAAAAAATAAATGCAAAGTTAAGATACATTCATACGTGCATCTAGCACGCATAATCTTAGGAGAAACAAAGAAATGCACATTGTGTCAAATGCAAGGACATTAATGCACATTCTAAGACACGCATTATACTGTTTGGTTTTGCCTTGTGATGTCAACCCATAAAGCAAATGGTCACCTTGACGATTGCGTGACTCTTCGCTTTTTGACGCCCTTCTGGCTCTCAGCAAACAATACCATGTTTAGTCTTTGCTCATATTTAATATAATGGAAAACAATTTCTGTATGATATATGGACAAATAGAAATTTAATCTTAAAGACCAATTTCTTTGTCTCACCTGGATCAGCTTGAGTGATCTGATTCCTGGCGTCTTCACTGACTTGTGTGAACACGACCAGACATCTACTGAATGTAGACTTGGCTTCCATAGACAGATCTGAGCTCTAAAGATACAATGTACAGAAAATAATATTACAATAAAGTGAAATTGATTTTAGGTAAAGATGACAAAGAATTTGTGAGCTCTCTAAATCTTTCTTTGTCAATGGGGGAAAAAAATCATTGTAGAAATAACCCCTGAAAAAGATAGCTCTACAAATACCCTGTTTCTCCAAATATGATAAGGAGTAGCTGAAAGTTGGACCAAACCAATGTGCCACACAACACACATGCAGTACACATGTTTTTCAGCGAGACTGATTCAATTTTTTTTCAGTTGATCATTCCAAAACCTCCCATTAACTCTTACGTATTCCGCCAAAATGACCCTTAAAAATGGGTAGGGGTTTCTAGGCTTCAGCGTCACACCCCGTCAAAACCAAATCTGAGTACCTCCCCCCACCAAAGACATGAGTGATAAACAAATCAGCAAAGTGATAAACGAATGTATAAGAACATATGCAAATGAGTAGAAATAAGGAGGTAGTAATGCCTTCACTTACATCCTTCAGAGCTTGATGTAGAATGGTGGGTATCTTTGCCTCACACGCCCCCTGAACTGCTTCTGTAGAATGAGGTAATGCCCTGCCCAGCAATCCAGCTGCTCTCTAGAGATGAAACAAAACCATTAATCATATATTTTATGTGATTTCCTTCCTTTTTTCACAAGTGTGCCTTGAGCATTTGATTTCAAGTGGATTTGGCCCCATATAAATCTCATATAGCATTATGTTTATACTAATTTAATACATTCAGCATTCATTACAGATTTTTTTTTTTAATTGACAGTTTCTATCATACATAACATCGTGTGAGATAGCACTCAAGATATAACAATCATAATATCAAACATGGATTATGATGTAAGGAAAACAAAGGCTATAGATGGAGAGGGATGGAGAAAGAATTAGAGAAGGCTATGGGGCCTGTTTCATAAGCTTGTTATCAATAACAAGTAACAATAATTGTTATAAGCTACTGAAATCATGGAATTTGATTGGCTGAGAGCAGATTTGGTCATAGAAATTTAGCATTTGTTATTGATTACAAGTTTAATGACACAGGGCCTTGGTGTGTGGACCTGCCTTTTGGAGAACACCCGAGCGAGTGAGAGAGAGAGTTATTATCACTTTACAATCAATAACATCATCAACATACAGTACCTCTTTGAGTTCCTTGTCATTGCTCTTCACCAATGGAAGCAGCTCCTTGCTTAGAGCCTCTGATTGGTCCTTGAAAGCTTGGCTGGTTTCCATGGTGATATTCATGAGGAGACCGAGAGTGGTGTAGACCATCTCTCTGCTGCTTGACCTGTCTAGATGCTTGGTATGGAATTTCTGGAAAAGGGAGCAAATGGAATATGAAAGGAGTACAATTATTTGAAACTTGTGTAATCATGTAACGGTAATAGAACAGGAAAACCAAGAGCATGGATAAAAAAGCAAAAAAACAAACAGATGATAAAGAGGAAAACAATATATGAACATTATGAACACCTAAAGGCAGTACCTGAAATTAATTTAAAAGAGAGAAGAAAAAAAATTCTTTCTGTACATGTATGATTACAATCAAAATGAAAAAGCAAATTGCAAAACAATTGTAGGCTTTATTTCATTAAAAATATTGGATAAGGGTTGAGTGCAATTTGGTATATGGCTAAGGTTGGTACCACCTATTTGAAATCTGTAAAAAATTGACAATAGAACATCATATGTTGTCAGTGGATATGTCATAGAACCATTACAACACTCACCAGAACTTTGATAGAGGCTTCCCAGAATTCCTTCCTGCTAGCGATCTCCTTCCTGATGACCGGGTCATGCGCCATGTTCCCCATGAAGGAGATGCATGATGGGAAGACATCACTTTTCTTTGACGTGATGCTGTGCGTCTGGAAGATGAAAGACAAAGCTATTGATTATAGATATATCATAAAATGTAAATCAGTAGAGGTGTTGCAATCGAGTGGTTTAAGCACTTGACTTGAAATTCAAAGGTTGTGGGTTCAATCCCAACACAGCACTGACTGCCCTTTGGCAAGGCATTAAGCTACATTTACCACGCTTTAAAGTCACAGTCACATTTATATTTCTAAAGCCCATCACATCCCTTCGTAGTGATACCTAAAACTTATATTGTCAATGAAAATGTTCCTTGATTCATAAGTTCATGAAGATAGATTTGTCAACAGTTGTCTCCATTTGTCTACGTAACTGTAAAAAAAGTCATGTATTTTTCCATATATGTTGACTTTTCATCTTAAAGTGACTAGGTAACAAAATCCTGGATTTAGCTGATGCTGCAAGCATAATCATAAACCTTCAGGTAAGTCAGGAATCCCATGATTTTTACAAGCCGATCGCCTGTCTGATTATCAAGATATTTATGATAGGAAATCAAAATTGTATTTTTCGTTTTCCTAACGGTTTTTGTAACACTACAGTCTATTGGGGATAATGAGTATGGTAAAACCGGTCACTCTGAGATTTTTACTTTTTTTAGGCACTTCATGATCACTTTGAAGCGCAATTATTTTAGGACTTCAATATTACACCATATCACATACACTGATCACACTTAAGGCCATGCATCTCAGATTTAACATTGTTAAACGATGCCCTTAAAGAAGATGGTAGAATCACAAAGATACATGAGCAACAGTACTTCAAAATTGATCAAGTAAAACCTGAACAAGGGAAAAGGGGGGAGGTGAGGTTTTAATTCTTTTAAAAATATTAAAAGCAGGTATCCGGAAAAATTGAGAACTTACCAAAAACTGTTCAAATGCTGGGAGAACCTGATCAGTCACCTTATTCCTGAATTGAGAGCTGAATCTAGGAGAGAAAGAGAGCGAGAGAAGAAAGAGGGAAAGAGATAGAGAGAGAGAGAGAGAGAGGTGTTAAAGAGGGAAAGAAAGAGGGAAAGAAAGAGGGAAAAGGGGAGAGAGGACAAAAAAGAGGGAAAGGCAGAGACAAAGCGAGTGAGGTAGGAGAAAACCATTAACAATAAATGAGAGGTGACACCTACACTTCATTTGTTTGACACAAATATTGACTGCTTGCGGGGGGGGGGGGGGGGGGGGGGGGGCTCAAACTTTTGCCCAAGGAGATCTCAAAACTGTACTGTGCCCTGGAACCAAGTCGAGGGGCACAGTGGTCAATATTTGTTTTATATACCCAACCCCCAAATCAATCCTCTGAAAGAGAAATGTACCCGTTTAAGAGCACTTCGCGCATCCATTATTATTATCACCAGGAACCATCTCTTGTTGTTTTCTTTATGTGTTTAAAAGTAATTTGCAAATTTCTGAAAATGTATTTTTCTGTAATATTAAATATATTTGTATTACGTTATCGAAAGCAAAAACTAAATTCAAACAAACAAAAAGTAAGCACTACATGTTAATACAGATCATATTCTTTGATAACAAACAAATTATCATCAAATAATCCAATTCAATATAGTTTGATTTAGTTCAATTCTATATTTGAAAGTGCTATATCTTACTTGCTCTCCAGTGCTAGGTTATTCAATACCTTTGCAGCTTCTACTGATCCTGTCTGTGAGGTCTGCACATAGGCTAACAAGCCAACTAGCAGGCTGAAAAAAGAGAAAAAGGAAATCACAGATTGAAAACTTTCATCTATACTGGTAATCAAAATGTTAATTTAAATTTATACAATATTACAACTAGCGCAGGGCCCTCAGGGATAGTAGTTTGTTCACCAAAGAGGCAACCCTGCTTAAATGAAATTGTAAATAAAAAATATATGAATTACATAAGAGAATATACTGACAATGTTTAAGCTGATACTCATCAAACTGTCTAAGCTAGATCTAGATACAATGACTTGAGGAGCCACGATAGCTCAGTCGGTAGAGCAGTGGTCTCGTAATCCGGTGACCCAGGTTCGAAACCAAGGCGATGTGCTAGTGCCCTTTAGTAAAGCATTAATCCTCATTACCAGGTCCCTCAGAGAGGACCTAAAGCCGCCGGCCGTCTGGTTGCTTACTTACAAGCATTTGTGCTTTCTTAGCAGTCAGGTAAAATAACCACCATCATGCCCATAGCACGCGACTTGAGAATTAGAAGGCTAGCTGATAGAAATGAGTTTCGGAGCCAATAGAATATTAGTAGCAGATTATAATGGTGCCTACATAGATCTGACATCAATGGAGAGTTCATGAAACCTGAACGTGAACAACATTTTTAGTAAATTAGGAATTTGTTGACACTGCTGTACATTTTCTATTGAAACCAGAAGAAACCCTGTCTCATCGTCTTCCCCCGTATCGTATCTGCACATGTGACGACCTGCGCAATGTTGGACGAAAGTCGCCCTCTGCTGTTTAACAACGTATCGGCGGTAGGTTGAATTAACTACCTTTGCATTAAACAAAATTAGTGAAAGCAATGATGCATTTCCAAAGGATTTACTAACCAAGCATTATCAAATGTAGTGATGATGCATTGCCTGGATACAGAACTCTCTGTGAGCCTTAGGAGGAGAGCTACACATAGCCTTGATATGTCAGGGTTACCTGAACCAAGGATACCCAGGAACGTTGTAGCAAAGTCTTCAGATTCTACCACAGCTCGACTGTTTTCATCTGCGGGAGAGTGGAAACAAATAAAATTCAATACTGTGTTGAGAAAGAAATTAAACAAGTTTGGAGTTTAAATCTCCAGTGGTTCTTGAGATATCATGATAACAACCTCAATGTATGGAATTTCATAAGTTGACCTCTGTGACCCTTGACCTTTGACCTACGTGCTCCAAAATCTAATCAGATTATCTTCCTATGGTGATACACACTATCATTAAGTTTGAAGTTTAAATCTCTAGTGGTTCTTGAGATATTATGATATGGTGATACATACTATCATTAAGTTTGAAGTGAAAATTCTCCAGTGGTTCTTGAGATATCGCGATAACGATCTCAATGTATGGAATTTCATAAGTTGACCTCTGTGAACCTTGACCTTTGACCTACGTGCTCCAAAATCTAATCAGATTGTCTTCCTATGGTGATACACACTATCATTTAGTTTGAAGTTTAAATCTCCAGTGGTTCTTGAGATATTATGATACCAATCTCAATGTATGGAATTTCATAAGTTGACCTCTGTGACCCTTGACCTTTGACCTACGTGCTCCAAAATCTAATCAGATCGTCTTCCTATGGTGATACATACTATCCTTAAGTTTGAAGTTTTTACATCTCCAGTGGTTCTTGAGATATCATGATAACAATCTCAATGTATGGAATTTCATAAGTTGACCTCTATGACCCTTGACCTTTGACCTACGTGCTCCAAAATGTAATCAGATTGTTTTCCTATAGTGATACACACTATCACTAAGTTTGAAGTTTAAATCTCCAGTGGTTCTTGAGATATCATGATAACAATCTCAATGTATGGAATTTCATAAGTTGACCTCTGTGACCCTTGACCTTTGACATACGTGCTCCAAAATCTAATCAGATCGTCTTCCTATGGTGATACATACTTTCCTTAAGTTTGAAGTTTAAATCTCAAATGGTTCTTGAGATATCGCGCTAACAAACTCAATACAAGGAATTTCATAAGTTGACCTCTGTGACCTGTGACCTTTGACCTACGTACTCCAAAATCTAATCAGATCGTCTTCCTATGGTGATAAATACTATTCCAGAGTCTTAAGTTTAAATCTTAAATGGTTCTTGAGATATTGTGATAACGGTCAAACGGGACGGACGTACGGACGTACGGACGGACAACCCGAAAACATGATGCCTCCGGCACCACCTTCGGTGGCGGAGGCATAAAAATGCTATTATCTCTTCCTTTCTTTCCCTTTAATTTATAGTTCTTCCTAAATTTCTCTAAACTGCCCATAAGCTGTTCTTTTGATAAAAGAATATTTTAACAGCCTTTTCAGGGAGGCTACCACATGGTGTTACGTAAAGATCAGTTTGTGAATTCTTTATTCATTTCTGTCCAAAACATAAAAAATATAATTCAAATTCAAACAACTTATTGAAATCAAATCTTGACCTGATAGGATTGTCATCCTCTGCGTTTCATTTAATGATGTTAACTGAAATACGGTCACATTTCTGTATCTCATAGCACACAGCTCAATGAATGCGTGCAGTACCTTTGTTGCATGCTTTTGCCATTCTTTTACATGTAAAAAAAAAATGGTGGCTTTTTAGGGGCGTCATATCAGGAGAAGTCAACCCTGATATTAAATTGGTTTTAATAGAAGCAAAACAATTAGAGAAACAATTCACTGAAAGTTTGAAAAAAAATTATGAATCTTTCAAAATCATGAAAATCATTTGAGTGACCGGTTTTCGTTTTCCCCAATAATCTGTAGTGCTATGAAAACCGTTTCGCAAACGCAAAATTTGATTTCGATTTTCAATCATAAATATCTTGATAATCAGACAGGCGATCGGCTTGTAAAAGTTATGAGGTTCCTGACTAACCTTAAGGTTTGAGCCAAATCAAGTATTTTTTTTTTAAGGATCTGAGACAAAGTTATAGGATCCCCTTTAATACTGAAAAAGTGGCTTACCATTCTGGATGACAACCTGAATAAGTAAGTCCAAAAGAGAATGGGTGATCTCAACTGCCTCCACTTTCTTCTTCCCTTCAATGACTTTGGACAAACACCTACAAACAAATCATTTATTATTTATTAGTTTATAAGAACTGACCAGCATCACATGCTGAAAGGGTCAGTTTACAACTAGAATCATACAATATGAACAATATTATGAACATAAATTTGTACAAAAGAAATTGCACCTTACACAGAAAACATAAAAAAGTATGTCTAGTGTTCCTAATACGGACTTACTGATTGCAGGGTGCCTAGGAAGACTCTCAATTCTTAATTCTTAACAATTTGACTAACATCCTACTCGAAGAACTTACAACAAATATAAATTTCTTAACTGCACTACATAACCCTATTTTAAAATCTCTCATGCATTTCTCTAATTTCCTAGCTAGGATTCACACAGACAAGGCTACCCTTCATAAAAAAGACATGTTGTTATCATTTCTATTATCGTTATCATTATCATTATCATCATCATCATCACCATCATCATTATAAAATTCACCTTTTGATGTGGGCCTCAGTCAATAAATCAAACCCCTTGCCTGTTCTAAACAGTGTCCTTGCGGTGTCTGTTTGAAACGAGAGAACAAAGAAAAGAAGGGCATCAATCATATATACTTTAGCACAGAGGCACGATGGCTCAGTGGTAGGTAGAGCAGTGGTCTTGTAACAGTGAGGTCCCGAATTTGAAACCAAGACGACGTGCTAGTGCCCTTTAGTAAGGCATTAATCCTCAATACCAAGTCCCTCGGAGAGGACTTAATGCCATTGGTCCCCTTGTTACTTACCTATATTAGCATCATATGCTTTCTTAGCAGTAAAACAAACAAACAGAGACAATACCCTTCAGGCTCTCTTCTGAATAGACTAGAGTTCATTTTATAGCCTGTTCATGAATTCAGTCGGCACAACAATAGACCATTTTCGTAATGTACTCAAAATAATACACATGTGTTTGGTAAGTGCCGCGTCACAAATTATTTCATTCACATGTTACAAAAATTGTATTTCAATAGTCAGAATGCGAATAACATACGTTGTCGTTACAGTAGGTAGGACAAAAATGATGGCTTGCCCTACTTAACAACAAATGTATGCAATTTGTATTCTGACTATCTAAATAAAATTATTTGTAACAGGTGAATAAAATAATTTGTAACAAGGCACTTAACAAAGACTCATGTGTTAAAATTGATTTCATCACGAAAATGGTCTATAGTTGCAGAGCGACTGTCGCTAGAGAATGTATCACAGAACTGGAAAAAAAAATATTCGACTCCATAGAGAATAAACAGAGTTTAGACAACATGCTATAAGACAACTTGCGTCTGGATTGAAGCAAAACACAAATTTTCCAGATTCACGTACCATCCTGTATCATTTCTTTGAGTACCCTCATTCCTCCAGCGTAGTACATCAGATTCTGGTTGGGCCTCCAAAGCTTTGATAAGACGTCCGTCATGGTCTGAGAATGCATGTCACCGCTCTCTAGAGTCCTTTGAGCACCCTCCTCAGCCTCGGCTGCTGCCCTCGCTTGTTGGGCTTCAAGGACGTACTCTGAAATGGTGGATATATCACATTATTTAGTTTTAATCATGAAAAATAACCCAGCAGGTATCATATTTTATAAGCAAATTATTAATAATAATAATAATAATAATTATAGCCTAATTCTTTTTGCCCAATTGATCGTGAGCCCAGCAGCCACTGAGCAGCGCCAGATCGACGTTGCTGAACGCCAGACAAGGTAGCAACAACTCCCATCTTAAAATCATTCAAGCCAATAATTTGTTTTACATCAGATGCATCATATCTCTGTCACTATACTCCTCCCATCCACCCCTCACTCATAGTTTTTGTGTCTTCTACCTCCATGAATGGTCTTCTTAATCGACTCTGGACATACTGCACAACACTCCTTTCATTTTTTTTCCCTCTCTCTCTCTGTCTCTTACTCTCCCTTTATAGCATGAACTAAACAACTTCTGTTATTTCTGGTTACACTTGAGTTGAGCATTTCTTGTTTAGCTTCACCAGACTTCAGATGTCTTTCTTTCTCTACTTCTTTCTCTCCCTCCCACCTCCTCCGTCCCTTGCCCCTTGTCCATCCCTCCTTCCTCATCCCATTTCTCTGTACAAAAATGACATTAATACTTACTGTCTACCATTTTCTGTTGTTTTTGGTCATACTTGAGTATCTCTTTGTAGCTCTCCTCAGCCTCATCGTATTTCAGTTGTCCAAGTAAAGCCTTTCCTCTGTGTATGTGTGCCTTGGCATTCTGAGGTTCAAGCCTCAAGATCAGATCACAGTCAGCGATCGCCTCTTCATAGCAACCCATCTTGTTGTATGCCTAAAATTGATGATGAATAAATAGCCAGTGAAGAAAAAAAATGAATACTTTCCTTGATCAAACAATTTCTTTGGGAATCAGCAAAGTAAGATTTCCTCCCATTTGTTTTATTTTTTTTCTTCAATTAGGTGGATTAACAAACAAAATTAAACAAAGATTTTAGGCAATTTTTGGAAAGAAAAAACACAAAAGGAATAGTTTTGATACTTAAAATTAACATTATCATCCTCAAGGCTTGCAAGACATAACATACTTATAATATGTTTGTTTGTGTTTGTTTTATTTTTTCTCACCAAATAACTGCATTTTACTTCATATTACAAACTTTAGATCGTTGCTGACAGTCCTGTCCTTCTTGAGAAAACGATTTGTAAAATTAAGCACGGATTTGCCTTTAAAGTTTATTTAAGATTAACCGGAAATTTAACAATTTTGAATCTTTGTGCCTTATAAGGTAATGCAAAGTTTTGGGAAATTCTGACAATTTTGTGGATAGTGATTCTTTACAATTTTGATATGTTTGGATGCCCCTGTGGATATATTATAAGCACTAGAAAATTTAGCCCCTGAAACTCTTCTGCTTTCGAGAAAAATTGAATATAAAAGATTACCGGTGCTCCCGGTAAATTTTGATTAATTTTTAATAGCGCCTACGGCCGTACAATGGTAGCTGCGACCATGAAAATCTCAGAATATGTAGTGGTGATATATAATTTCCAAACAGGGATAGCTAATTGGTCGATTTTAGTCAATAAGCATTGTTTAATAGCTTATTGATATCTTGGCCTTGAGAGGGAGCTATACAACATAAAGAGTTTATTGTTTACAATTTCATAACTTTAGACTTGATTTCAACCGCGACAGCGATCACAGAAAATTGTAAGATCGCATATGCTTCCAATATGTTCATTTGAACCAAATTCACGACCCCATACCAATACTTTGTATTACCTTTAAACGTGTGCGAAAATTTACCTGACAGCAAAATAAAAACACACAGGAGCGGTGAGGGATTTAGCTCTCTAAAGCTTCAAAAGAGCTCTGGTAAAGACAATAAAATACTTAAATAACACTGTGAGAAGTTTCCTGAGAGACAACACCAAATCCTGAAGAGCTCACGCAAACAGAAAAGTATTTTTTACGTTGGTACCTGGGCTCTGTTGGTATAAAGCACACCAAAGTCTTTGAGATGGGTAAGACCCTCTGTGTAATGCTCTATGGCTTTCTCGTAGTTGCCTCCCTTGAATTCAACGTTCCCTCTATCCTTCCATTCGGTCGCCCTCTCCTTTGCTTCCTTCCTTCTCTGTGCCCTCTCCGCTGAATCTCTTTCTACTGCTTTCATGAAACCATCTGTAAGGAATTGGAACACCAGAGGGAACGTTTAGTATTTGTTAAGTGTGTGACAATATTCTGTTTATGTGATCTACAAGTTGAGACTATAATGTTCATACTGAGAGAGGGCGCTAGAGACAAAACCATCTCAGAGCCATGTATTGACAGAGTTTGGCCAACCCGGATCGAGTTGGACACAATATGGCGACTACTGCTTTGTTGGGCAAGCACAAAACAAAAGAATATACGCCATGTTGTGACCCAGTGAAACCAAGTTGGCCAAACTCTGTATATATGTGGAGCCCCACAGAATACCCCCCCCCCTATTTTTTTGTATATCTTTGACTATGTATGTATGACACAAGTATATTTCTAGCCCCCATATAGTCCCTCCTCTTAGTTAATTAGGTACCCCCTCCTGCGAGAGTGGCCTCACCCACAACTAACCTAAACACACCAGCTGGGATACCAGGAGTGGCTTCTCACTTTGTTTTGCCATGCATCCTAGTCAACACCCTTCTTATTTTGTCTTCCTTTAATAGGTAAGAAAGAATCTTATATTATTCAATTGTGTTATATGCTTGTTGTTCATAATATGTGTATTTCTAAACTATTAGCTTCACTATTCACATATCTTGTATTACTGTGTAAACAGAGATATTAATGATCTTTGCCAATGACTTGTTGGATTATATGACATGTGGACTATGAGAGGAAATATAAGAAATGCCATGTGGGAAGAGATGCCATGTGGGGAGAGATAATGTCATTGATGAACATAGTAATCACTTGTAGAAATGATAGGAAAGTATTATCGTGTGTGTGAGATTGATGATTATGTTGTTTGATTTAGACAACATTTTAAGTAAGTTTTGAGAAGAGAATATACTTTATTACTGTCAGTATATTTGTCTTTTGCTCGATATTCATGTGTATATATATATATTCTTAGCCAAGGACATGTGCCATTTACTATGCATTATGCCAAAGCACATTGTTATATATTCTAGTTCGAGTTAGATACAGTTTGAATAGCGAAATGAGTTGTTCAAGTCCAGATTATCTTTAACTTACAGTATTATGGTATGAGTGAGTGTGGACGCACCATGTGTATAATATTAGTGTGTTATTAGGTTATGGCAGTGCGTGCAATGTGAACACAACTTCTTATCAAAGTTCTTAATCCCCTCCCCCAAGCTTTGTTTGCTTTTAGACCCATGCTGGAAAATGGTATCTTAGGCGGGAATGAAAGTTTGGTAGAGTCAGCATGATTACAAAATGAGAAGACAAAGGATTTGAGTTGGATATGCACTTGTTGAGAAACACATGGTCACACAGTCTAGTAGTTAGCTATAGAGCAAGGAGGCTAGAGTTGAATTGGTTGATGGAATATTGTAGTTGAAGACTTGCATAATCACAGTGTGAAATTCATTGTATTATATTGTTAGGAATGATTATTCAGGTTAAATGTTATTTGGAATTACTCTCTCTCCCCCTCCTCTCTCTCTCTCTCTCTACCCCCCTTCTCTCTCTCTCTCTCTCTCTCTCTGTATCCCCCTCTCTCTCTCTATTCCCCTTCTCTCTCTCTCTCTCTCTCTCTCTCTCTCTGTATTGTTTACCCCTCCCCTTTCACTCCCACATTACTTTGTATATAACTATGATATGAATATACATGTATTTAGTAAAACTATTGGTCGTTGTTTAGAATTAGAATATGAACTGTATGTGAAGATGAGATTACAGTAAGAGGAAAGCGTAATATTGGTTGTTAGTTTGCTAGAGCTATATAATTAGTGCAGACTGCAGACTAAGACTATTTGCCAGTTCTGTTAATATTGTAAGGAGTTTAAGATATAAGTTGTTAAAGATGTATCTTTTCAAGTTCAGTAATCTCGCTGAAAAAGATAGTATTAGATCAAAGTGATGCAGATGACTATTGGAAAATACATGAGCTATAGTTAAGGGAGAGTTATAAGTTTATTCAGTATTAATGTGAAGTCCTGAGACAAGAAGTAACTTGTGAATTTAGGGATTAGTGAAGGCTGAGAGTAGAATTACATTCTAAGGGTCTATGTGCACAAGGGATCCTCAGTCTTGGAGCGTAAAGAGTAGAAAGCTTATTAGGCAATAGTATAGGGATGATTATGCCAACATTCTTGTATTAGGTCTATATATGTGATTTCTTGAAAGAGACGCTACGTGAAGAGTTATATGATTAGAAGTAGATTGACTGATACCGCAATGTTATAGACATTTGATAAGGGTTAAGTTATTTATTAGTAGCCAAGTTATGATTATGAGATCGATGAAGAGTTGCACTTTTACATTAAGCATGGAAGTAAGGATAGTTTCGTTTAGAGATAGTAAAGTAATGAAACTAACCAGATGATGTTCTTAGTGATATAGTAAGAGAACACGGAGAGCTAATGAATTCAATGTATGCGAACAGGTAGATTTATTTGTGTTTAATACTTGAAGAGTATTGTTATGCCATTTGATCGTATATATGTTATTGTAAGAAAAGACTGTTATTGTAAAAGATTAAGTAATAAAGACTTTGTTTTGCCATGCATCCTAGTCAACACCCTTCTTATTTTGTCTTCCTTTAATAGGTATGCCCCCTCCCTCGGGGTGTGGGCGCTACAAATTTGGCGACCTTGCCAGGACGGCCATCGTCGAAGAGACACGAGGACGATGTGTCGTCCTATGACACGAACAGTTGGATAATCGAAGAAGCAGTGATGTAACGATTAGGATAAAAAGGACCAGAAGTCAGAGAGCCGGAGAAGACCATCCCTGATTGAAAATGGGGTTGGCTCAGCATCACAGAGAATGGGACGAGCTACAGAGAAGAGAAAAGGCTACCGTGCAGTATGCAGCAGGGTGCTACAGCAAGGGGATAGGGCCCTGGTGCGAAGTCTGGCCCCTCCAGGTGGCCAAGGGAAGCTTCACCCTTACTGGGAGGAAATAGATGGCGAAGCAGTGAGTGGAGTCAAGGATGTCCAGGGGTTCTCCAAGCCGCCATCCTCAACAGCCCAGCCCCCAGCACCGTTCCAGTACCGGTATGACCCACCATCCTACACCCATCAAAGGCCATTACAGATACAGACGCCAGTAGCCCACCAGCAACCAACCCACTACCAGCGTTAGATGACAGAAGACCAACTTCAATTTTTCCAGCGAGCGAGTCAATCATTCGACCCGCGAGGAAGGCCTCAAACGGATTCTTTTTGTTTTTAATATTTTGTTTTACATTAGATGCATCGTTATTTAGAATCATGTGCTAGCTGTTTAGTAAATCAGAAATATGAGTAATGAGAAGTAGTAAGATGAAACAAGTTGTAAATCGTTTCATGAATTGTGGTGTAATATAAGGAAACAAGCGATGACACTCGATAGTGATCAATATAGATCTTTGTGATAAAGTCTTCGGGATGAGTCGCGAGCTTCCCAAGAAACCTTCACCGTTTGTCAGGCGCGCCCGTAGAATGGGTTAATGTTTCGCAAAGTTTATTTGTATGGAAGAAAAAGCCACGTAATTCTGATACGATATTATGATATGTAATTCTGAGACTTCAAGTACCTATTAGGTTTCGCTATAACAAGTTGCAACAAGTGTATATATGAACTCGATGTACTACATGTATTTCGCAGAAGAATTGGAGCACGATGATCTGTCAGCGTTGCAAGGACATAGACTTTCATGGACTTTGGTGATAAGTCTCACCTCCCTGATCTGTCCTAAGTTCATGACGACATTGAACAAGAACTATGAACGTTAGAAATCTTATACTATAATGATGAATTGATGTAAATGTTTGAAAGTTGAAATGTCCAGGAGACATTTATTTTTGGAGGGGAAGGTGTGGAGCCCCACAGAATACCCCCCCCCCTATTTTTTTGTATATCTTTGACTATGTATGTATGACACAAGTATATTTCTAGCCCCCATATAGTCCCTCCTCTTAGTTAATTAGGTACCCCCTCCTGCGAGAGTGGCCTCACCCACAACTAACCTAAACACACCAGCTGGGATACCAGGAGTGGCTTCTCACTTTGTTTTGCCATGCATCCTAGTCAACACCCTTCTTATTTTGTCTTCCTTTAATAGGTAAGAAAGAATCTTATATTATTCAATTGTGTTATATGCTTGTTGTTCATAATATGTGTATTTCTAAACTATTAGCTTCACTATTCACATATCTTGTATTACTGTGTAAACAGAGATATTAATGATCTTTGCCAATGACTTGTTGGATTATATGACATGTGGACTATGAGAGGAAATATAAGAAATGCCATGTGGGAAGAGATGCCATGTGGGGAGAGATAATGTCATTGATGAACATAGTAATCACTTGTAGAAATGATAGGAAAGTATTATCGTGTGTGTGAGATTGATGATTATGTTGTTTGATTTAGACAACATTTTAAGTAAGTTTTGAGAAGAGAATATACTTTATTACTGTCAGTATATTTGTCTTTTGCTCGATATTCATGTGTATATATATATATTCTTAGCCAAGGACATGTGCCATTTACTATGCATTATGCCAAAGCACATTGTTATATATTCTAGTTCGAGTTAGATACAGTTTGAATAGCGAAATGAGTTGTTCAAGTCCAGATTATCTTTAACTTACAGTATTATGGTATGAGTGAGTGTGGACGCACCATGTGTATAATATTAGTGTGTTATTAGGTTATGGCAGTGCGTGCAATGTGAACACAACTTCTTATCAAAGTTCTTAATCCCCTCCCCCAAGCTTTGTTTGCTTTTAGACCCATGCTGGAAAATGGTATCTTAGGCGGGAATGAAAGTTTGGTAGAGTCAGCATGATTACAAATGAGAAGACAAAGGATTTGAGTTGGATATGCACTTGTTGAGAAACACATGGTCACACAGTCTAGTAGTTAGCTATAGAGCAAGGAGGCTAGAGTTGAATTGGTTGATGGAATATTGTAGTTGAAGACTTGCATAATCACAGTGTGAAATTCATTGTATTATATTGTTAGGAATGATTATTCAGGTTAAATGTTATTTGGAAT